CCGCGATAGCGAGGGTATCGTAGCGACCAAGGACGCGAAAAAGAATTCCGTTTTCATTTTCGACGATATCGCTTGCGACAAACAAGACGTCATGCGCGAATATTTCTGCATGGGCCGTCACAACAATATAGACGCGTTTTACCTGTGCCAATCGTACGCGCGCATCCCGAAACAACTCGTGCGTGACAACACCAATCTGCTGGCCATTTTCAAGCAAGATGCGACGAATCTACGCCACATCTACGACGATCACGTCATAGCCGATTGTTCGTTTCAAGAGTTTCTCGATATGGCGAACCTCGCGTGGGGCGATAAGTATTCCTTCCTCGCTATCGATAAAGACTCGCCGCGGGACGACGGTAGATATCGCAAAAATTTCGATATGTTTATAAAAAGAAATTAGCCGGACGCGACCGGGCGCGCGCGCGCGGTGCTGCGGGGCTCAATCCGCTCCGAGAGCCCGTAACGAGCGGTCAACATGGCCTCCGCTGTCGAAGCGACGCGCGTCAAGGAAGATCTCGTCAAAGCCGCCAACGCGGTTCGCGCTAAGGTCAACGCCCTGAAACGCGGCGAAGAAGAACGCGCGACGGGAATCGAGAAAACATTTCAACCCGTTACGGAACCCCTGCGCGAGCTAGTTAACCTAAAAAAAGACAGTATCAAGTTGAAACGAGGTACGGCGGCGACGAAGTCGGAAATACCCCGCTTTCGCACGGATGCCACATTTTTCGAGGACGATCTGAACGATTTCGCTCTGCCCACTCCCGTGACTCATAGCAGCACGATAGCCCGGCAACCTCGCACTCTCACTGCGACTTCTTTACCCGCAGGGGCCGAGGACGAGGAGGATCTTGAGGATGATGTATTCACCACGTCACCTCAGCAGCAGCAGCAGCCGAAGGCTCTGCTCGAAGCTGCGAGCCGACCGACCTTCCGAGACGAGGTTTTGTATAAGGCTCGTCGGTCTTTGGGCCCACTGGCCCGGAATTACGTCGCCGAAATGATTCTGGACGTGGCCGACAAGTTCGATCACCGTTTCGGATTTCGACTCGAACCCGCGACCGGAGGATTCAAAATCGGCAACGAAAATGCTGAGATAGACGTCGATGATGCTATATTAATCGGCGAGAAAAAGTACAACGGCACGCCGGGGCTATACGAATTGTTGTTCAAAAAATGGCCCAGACGCGAACTCATCATCGACGACGACGTAGAGCAATACAAAGACATCCTGACGCGGACCAACGCCCACAAGCAACGTTTCGATCCGCGCCTCAACCTCGCCTCCTCGTCCAGCTACAAATACAACACGTACATCGCTCCGCTTTTCGGCGCCTCCAAAAAGAAAAAAAGGAGAAGGTTCACCGACACGCCGGGCCCGTCCGGACGCAGCGCCTCGGTTCGCGGACGTCATCAAACGGCGCCGACGGGCGAGGGGTTGGTCAAGTTGTCGGACAACAATATAGATTACGTGCATTACAACGACCCTAACGAGCTGGTCGAAAGACTCGTGCTCTTGAAAGGCTCGCAGGTCGCCGGTCATCGCGGACACGACTTGGAAATAGCCAGCATCGAAGAAGAGCTCCGCGAGTGGAAGATCATCGCTTAGCAGCAGCAGTAGTAGTAGTAGTAGTATGGAAGGCATAGACAAGTTCGGTCGTGCCCAGAGTTTTCAAGAAGCGGTTCGCGGTCCTCCCGGGCCGGGCTTCGTGCTCACCGAAAATCTCGATTATTCCCTGGAAAATAAACGTCTGGTCAACGTGGCAACGCCCATTGACGCCAACGACGCCGTTACGCGTCATTGGACGGAAACTAAAATCGATAAAGAATTCGGTCCTAAAGTAACAAGCTTGGAAACGTCAGTCACCGGGCTGAAAGTCAAATTCGATACGGTAGATACAGCCGTGCACGCATTGAAGACGAAAACTGACAACATAGCGAAAGATTTGAGTGACGGATTGACGAGCGCGGTGCGCAGGTCCGATTTGGACGTTCAAAAGGCGAACCTCGAGAAACAAATCGCGGACGAACGCGAAAGGGCGCGGACCGAGCTTCATACGGAACTTAAAAAATTAATCGCCGCGGTGTACCCGCTCGAAGAGCCCACGGATCTGGAAACCGCGAAACGCTGGAAGGAGGCGATTAAGAACACGTCGAAAACTTGGCACGACCTATTCGAAAGCAAGTTTAAAAACTACAACAACAACATCAACAAGCGAGGCGGTTAAACATCCATGGCCGAAGTCGAAGCCTCGCCGACCAAAAGGCGGATCGTGGACGAACTGCACAGAGCGGCTCGCCGAAACTACCCGCGCCGATCGGTCATCGTTTGCGGCATAGACGACAGCTGGCAGGCGGATTTGATAGAGATGATACCCCACGCCGCCGTTAACAAGGGTTACAAGTACCTGCTCACGGTGATCGACAATTTTTCGAAGTACGCCTGGGCCCGCGCCTTGAAATCGAAAAAAGCCGGCGACGTCTCCCACGCGTTCGAGGATATTCTGAACACTTCCGGGCGCCGCCCGAAAAACCTACAGACCGATGATGGGAAAGAATTTTTTAACAGGACTTTCGCTTCGCTGGTGAAACGATTCCGCATCAACCATTACAAAACGTTCAGCACTAAAAAAGCTTCCATAGTGGAAAGGTTTAACCGCACCCTGAAAGGGCACATGTACAAGACCTTCTCCGTAAACGGTAATTATAAATGGGCGGACATGTTGTCGGGACTGATGCAACGTTACAACACCGCGGTTCACCGCACGATCGGAATGCGACCCGTCGATGTCAACTCGGGCAACGAATCGGAAATTTTGGAACGGATCGGGTACGAGCGGCCCGCCCCACCGCACCCGCCGCCGAAATTTAAAGTCGGAGATCATGTCCGTGTCAGTAAAATTAAATCTGTTTTCGCCAAGGGTTACACGCCCAACTGGTCGACGGAAATATTCACCGTTGCCACCGTGCGCCGCACTTCACCGCCCACGTATCTACTGCGCGATTTCCAGGGTCAAGACATCGCAGGGGGATTCTACGGCGAGGAGTTGCAAAAAACTCGTTTCAAAGACGTTTACCTGGTGGAAAAAATCCTCCAGCGAAAGGGCAACAAATCCTACGTCAAATGGCTCGGCTTTGATAATTCTCACAACAGCTGGATCGACAACAGCGACATCGACTAAACTCCCCGCCCCTCCCTCCGTTTTCATTTTAAATAGACTCCCGTGTTAATTTCGACTCTCCTCCACCTCCCCGAGTTACTCAGTCGATCGAGAGCCTCTATCATGGAGCCACTGCTGCTGCTGCTGCTGCTGCCGGCGTTCTGTTCTTTGCTCACGGCCGATACTTCGGGCGCCGACTCGGTGACCGCGGCCGTAGCCACTAACAACACCCGCTCGGACGATGACGATTCCTACACGGACTTTCTCCACCTCAAATTGAACCGTTGCGTCACGCCGCATCCGAGGCTCACGATAGAAACAGTCACCTTTTGGGAAAACGCCGCCGCCGCCGGTGCTAACGTGACCGCCGAAATCTGCGGAGTCGTGAACGCGTTGGATTTCTCGAATTGCCTTTCGGCCTCTTTCAGGAACCCGAAAATCAAAACCTACTTCCACGACTTTGTTTCGAATATCACGCGTCTGTGCGCCTCGCACGCTCCCGTTCATTCCGCAAGTGAACAGGCTCTGCCCCGCTGCTGCTGCTCCTACAGGGAGGAAAACGACAAAGACTCGGACCGCAATCACAGCCGGGCCTCCTACAGGGAGGAAAACGACAAAGACTCGGACCGCAATGACAGCCGGGCGCCTTCCGTTCATAATTACAATTATCAGCATGCCGCAAATTCCGCCTGCTATTGTGTCGTAGTGCTGAGCGTCATCGTCGTGGTGGGCATCTTACTTGCCGCCGTTCTGGACTGTATCGACCACAAGCGCAAAAAATGCCAGAAGGAAAATGGACCTGCCCGAGCCAACGGAAAGTAACTTCGCTGAAGCGCGGACGCCGATTTAGACTTTTAACTGTAAATACTTTAAGAGCTAACAATTGTCACCCGATCTTTGTTTTTTTAAAAAAAAATCCATGTATCCACTTTTTCTATTAATAAACAATCCTATAGTTAAAAAGATTCGATCTATCTTTTTATTGAAAAATCCGTACCTTTATTATTATAATTTCATCATACATATTTTTTCCGTAGTTCGGCAATGCACTGCAACCGAACAGGACTCATTATTATTAACTCAATGCACAAGCCGGCCGCGCTGCACACTCCAACGCCGCCTGCTCACCGCACGCCGCGATGCAGCGAGCCCCGCCATCCAGCGCCGCCGCTCGCAGCCGCCCACCCAGCGCCGCCCGCAGCCGCCTGTCCCAGTACGGTAGAGCACCGGCGTTTCACTCCTACTTATGATTCTGGTTATTTTTACTAAATAGTATCACTGTGTGGAAAATCGAGTGGACTTATAGTAGATGTTACCATACTTTTTTTTACAGTGAAAAGGATATTGGACGTATTTATATCAAACAGAACTATGTCCAGGTGGGAAAGATGTGTTGCGCTTGTACGTGCTCGAGCCGTAAGAATGAATGGGAAATATAAAGCGCCAGTGACGAAGCTGCCGCCGCACAATGGATCAAGTCAATAGCGGTCAAAAGTGGTTTAATTGGTTTTCTCGTGAAATTTTCTTCAAGAAGCACCCCTCAAAGTTTCAAATGTGACGAAATAGACATAAAAAATTGCAGTTTCAGTCAAAAGTTTCATGTCCGACCTCTCTAAATGACTCGATCTACTGTGCGCCGCCTTCGCCCGTCATCTGCATTAACTCATGAGCCCTGTTCATAACGCTCCATACACATACCCATCGCTCATGGGTGTCAGAATCAGTGTGCACATAGTTCCGTTTGACAGAATGTAAAATCCCGCTATCCCAATTCAGCTTTTAAAGGAAAAACTGTGAGCCAACTCAAAATTTATTTTTCTTTCATTACGTCTGTTACAGGGAAGACTTTTAGAGCGGGCTGACGCGTATTTCAGTTCTTTCAGACGATGCAACTATCCGCGACTCACAGCGAGGGGTGACATCGAAATCGTTATGGAGTGCGGCCGATATTCTAGGTAAGAATGAGACTCGACTACACTTTGGAGAAGGCGAATAAACTATATATCGACGGTGAAAGTCGGCAATCACATAACTCGGTTTGCGACGTCGCAGACTTACTGTCATACTTTATTTTTAAATGGAAAACTACTCAACGGCAATTCTTTAAAATTGCCTTGATTTTTCTTCTCTGTGAGAAGAAAATTCTGCAAAAACTTCAAGGAATTATGTGAATTTGTTCTCTTTTAAAAAAATAACATAGAGGCGGAGATTTTCAGACACCGCAAACGAGTTATGTGTTTGCCGACTTATACCGTCGATATATAGTGCTGAAGTTTCTTGATGAAGTTAAGCAGTGCACGGAGAAAAAAACTTCGTGCGTGGGACCCGAAGTTTAGGTCATATGGATCTCTGAAGTTTTTGGATTGAGCATCTAAAACACTTTAGGTCCAGCTGCTGAGGTTCGGATCACACATCTGAAACTTCAATTTCACATCTGAAGTACTTCGGTTTTCACATCCGAAAAACTTCGGTTGATGTGTGATCCGAACCTCGACAGCTAGACCTATAGTGTTCAGATGCTCAATCCGAAAACTTCAGAGATACATATGACCTAAACTTCGGGTCCCACGCACGAGGTTTTTTTCTCCGTGTGTTCTGCCTTCCCGGGCGCCATGCGCCAAATGCGCCTAAAAATCGGGCTTTGGCGCCTAAAAATTGGGCGGGCTGGGCCATCGTGGCGCCTAAAAAATGTCGACGGCGTAAGTCCGCAGTCACATATCTAGTTTGCGGTGTCTGAAAATCTCCGCCTCTATGTCAATTTTTAAAAAAATAACAGATGGACATCGTACCTTGAAGTTTTTGCAGAATTTTCTTCGCCCAGAGAAGAAAATTCACGGCGGTTTCGAAGAATTGCCGTTGTGTAGTTTTCCGTTCAAAAAATGAAGTATGACAGGAAGTCTGCGACGTCGCAAGCCGAGTTATGTGATTGCCGACTTACACCGTCGATGTGACTGATTGAACTCGGAATTGGGAACAATGTCTTTGATGGGGAAGCTAGCGGTAGCAATGAAGCGCTCTCTATAGATACGCACCGTTCGCAGCGTCGCCATGGCTCGTATGCAAAAATTTAATTTGGCTCCTAAAAAATAGTAGGTGGCTCCTAAAAATTCGGTTTTCCGGTCAAGAAGACTTCTAAAATTTTAGGGGGAAGGCAGAACTTTGAAGTCGAGTAGTGAGTGAGTATACGGACGGGGTGAATAAACTCGGCTGTGCATACGTGCGAGAACTATTGGGACTACATTTTGCAATTATTAGGACCTACAATTTCTGGCTCATCCGTAAAAACACTTGCGTGCTCAGGGAAGCTAATGGTGCAGACGTCGTTATTTGTAAACCGAGCCAGAAATTGTAGTTTCTACAGTGGCAAAATGTAGTTCAAAAAGTCCATGAAGTCCCAGGCTTAAATGGCCACACTGAGGCGTGTTCCATGAGTTAAAATTAGATTTTTCTCTTCTAAAACTTTTCCCCGAAAGCGCCCTCAGTAGGAGCAATAGTCTTTTGAACTGTCGGAAAAATCGTCTTTCCTCCGATTATTGGTGATAGTTATGGACCAAAACGCATGAAAAGTAATGCACGGAGAAAAAAATTTCGTGCGTGGGACCCGAAGTTTAGGTCATATGGATTTCTGAAGTTTCCGGATTGAGCATCTGAACACTTTAGGTCCAGCTGAGGTTTGGATCCCACATCTGAAACTTCAGTTCTTACATCTGAAGCACTTCGGTTTCCACATCCGAAGAACTTCGGTTCTCACATCTGAAGTACTTCAGATTTATGAACTGAAGTTTTAGATGTGTGATCCGAACCTAGACAGCTAGACCTAAAGTGTTCAGATGCTCAATCCGAAAACTTCAGAAATCCATATGACCTAAACTTCAGGTCCAAAGCACGAGGTTTTTTTCTCCGTGTGCAACTGCAAACCCTCCTAGCTGCCTTCCGTACCCACTCTAAGAGTCAAATCTAGCTATGGCCTCAAATCTTGTGGGAAATGAGATTAAAAAGAGATTCCTAATGAGCTTGAACGACCTTTCGGAGTGAAAATCTTGGTTTTAAGGTCATTTTCTCAATTTTTTGAATATAAAACTGTTTCCTCCGACAGAGAAAAAAAATTGGTAGGTAAATCAAGGGTTATTTAGAGTGGGAGCGGCTTTTAGGAATATACGCCGTTGGGAGGAGCATGATGGTAAGGATTAGAGCCCTCACCCCCTCGAGCCTCGAAGACGCCTCAAGAATGCGGGATTTCTCGGTCTTACGCTATGTTGTGCGCGGTGCCAGGTGGGGGAGGCAGAATGAAACGTGAGACCCGTGACCCAACTGCACCCCAACCTCGGATCGGTTTGTACCTCGAGATACGATCCAAACACGACGCGCACCCACGAAACCACCCCGTTCCCATTTATACAGGCTGATCCAAAAGTCCCCTCTACCCCCTCTTACTTTTTACCTAATGGACCACTAGATAAGGTACGAATTTCAGCATTCTGATACATGTTTCTTAACCAAAATTTTACGTAAAACACGATGCACACAACGAAAATTACCGAAATTAACTCCTTACGAAGATGTTTAATGATTCTTGATGCGTGAATTCAAAGCACCCGCTCATGTAAACTCAATGCTCTACGTGATTCACATCGCGCGCTAAACGTTATCATGACAGTCTCTGCTATATTAAAATCTGGCAACCTCAATTTTGACGCTTTGGCTCAGCTATAGCAAATTGCTTATAGTTTGAACAACACATGGTGGGAAATGAACATTACTCGATTGAGAAGATTGTTGAAACCGTTGTAGTGCGCGATTTGACTCACGTAGAGATTTGAGTTTCTTGTGAGCGGGCAGTTCAAATTCCTCGTAACCAATGTGAAATGAAAACGTTAATATCTTCGTTAGGAATTAGTTTCAGTCATTTTCGTTGTGCGAATCGTGTTCTACGTGAAATTCTTGTTAAGAAACATGTATCAGATTGTTTAAATTCGTACCTTGTCTAGTGGTCCATTGAATCAGTGAGAACGAAAATACACCAACTCGATAACCCGAAAATGTTACATTTTCATTGAAGACAGTCAATTTTTATAAAAGGTCGTTGAAGTTAGCGCATCAGTTTCATCTTGGACCTTTAAAATGCCCTGTAGTGATTGTATTTCGGCACCAAAAATCTTTTTCTTGGACTAAATTCTTCATCTACTGTGCAGTTTTGTGTATGTCTTGATTGATTTCATTTTTCCGAGATGGTGTGTTTTCGTTCTCACTGATTCAATTGAGGTAAAGATATTTGAAACTTGGGGGATGTTCTTAGGTCAAAGGAAGCTACTTTTTAACCTCCCTAAAATTTTCAGGGGGGCTTCCATGAGGGGGCAACGGACCCCAGCGTTTTTTTCAAATAGGAAGACCCTCTTTGTGATGCCTCGTTCAAAAGAGCATAAATAAAAGATTTCGCGCAAATTCGAAGTCAATACCTCAAACCGTTTCAAATTGGCGGCCGGTTAAAGTTAAAGATGGCCGAAAATTGACAGTCAGTGGATTTGCGCGAAATTCGGCATCCACGGGTAGTTTGACGCGAGAAAAATGAATCTGAAGTTAAATTTAAAAAAAAAAAACGAAATTTCCAAAATGGCCGCCTGTTCAAGTTCAAAATGCCTAAAAATTGCCAACACTGTTTTTTGCTGATGGATTTGTTAAAAGAGGTATTTTGGCATGAGATTAACACATTTGAAATTATATTTCTAAAAAAAAAAAACAATTTTCAGCCATTTTGAAAATTTCTTTTTTTTAAAATTTGACGTCAAATTCGTTTTTCTCGTTTCAAAATATTCATGGATGCCGATTATCGCGCAAATCCACTGACAAACAACCGGTGTCAATTTTCTGCCATCTTTAACTTTAACCGACCGCCAATTTGAAACGGTTTGAGATATTGACTTTGGATTTGCGTGAAAAGTTATTTTTATGCTCTTTCAAAGGGGATCTTCCTATTTGAAAAAAAAGTCGGGGTCCGTTGCCCCCTCTAAGGGCCCCCTTGAAAATTTTAGGGAGGTTAAAAAGTAGGACCCTATGACCTAAGATCATCCCCCAAGTTTCAAATCTTTAACTTAATTAGGTAAAAGGTTAGAGGGGGCGGAGGGACTTTTGGATCACCCTGTATTTAAGTTTAACCTTATAGCTACGTCACTCAAAAATTAACGTCCCTCTTCGGCTCAGAAAGTCCCGTCAGCGTGTGGAGGGAATAAATTACGAAATTGCTGTGCTACTAACTCCTACGGATTGCCTCCTTGGCAAAGTCGATCAGTATGATATCTCGTCTTGTCCAGTAGACGAAGACCTATGTGAAATTTAAAGGAGGGATGTGCTGGCAGTGTGTTTCTATTCTGAATACGACGACGTATAGGCAACCGAGGAAGGCAGTGACACAAGAGCACCAATGTCTCTGAAAAGCAGATGCCCCGGTCCCGCCGATAGCGGCAGTGACTCATCGACTCCCCCCTTCAGAGTACCCGCATCCACTTAGCATTAAAATATTTCGCTATTTTTAATCCAGCACACAGTTGCCAGAGAGCGTCTGCAAAAGCTCAATTCTTAAAAATAAAAAGGCAAGGAGAAAGGAAAAATTTAAAGAAAATTTGAGAGAAATTGGAGAACAAATTTGAAAAATTTAAATAGGATGGAGGATGACATAATTATTTTTTATTTATAGTACGACGCCTGCAGAACGCGATGAACGATTCTGAGTCTGCCCAACTTCCTTACCAAACCGAAATCTGACCCTGGTAAAAAAAAATCTTCGGCGATTTTCAAAAATGGTTTAAGTTAGGACAGCAGGTACGTGCGCTTGTGCAGATAGGTACATGACTTAGATTTCTGCCGTGCTAAGGAAGAGCGCCGTATAAACATTCGAGAGTTACTAAGTTTCCTTCGATAAAATGTTTATTTTTGAGGAAAATTTTGAATATTTGCCCCTAAAATTTTCAGAAGTTTTAGATCAAATTACGAACAAAATTATCTGAGAAATTGGTAGACAAATACTCAAAAATTTTCCTAAAAATTAGTGATTTGCCAGGGGAAATTTGGCAACGCCTGAAGACTCATACGGCGTTTTTCCTTAGCACGGCAGATTTCTGCCCCCCCCCTTTCCCAACCGCTCATGGAAAGTAAGAGTGCCATTCTCAGGATTTTAAGAAAAACGTGATTTCGACCCTTTCTCAATTCTAGAGAACACTCTCTCTAAAACAAGCGATTTTAGTATTTTACGGAAGACTTCAATATGGATGGCAACACTGTAAAAATTTCCCGCGCCTTCCGAGGTTGACGCAGGGAATACGGCGCGCGTGTCTCGTAGAGAAGCCACAGTGACGTCGTGGATATTTTTTTCACTCACAAAACAACCGAGCAGTCGCATGGTGTGTCTTTCGGTTGTTTTTGTATCATCTTGAGGAGCGTCACACTCCAGCCGAGCCCTCGTAAATAATAACACAAACACCCGCTGCCTACGTCATAACTGCAACGCAACTTTTGTCGGACAAGCGCCATCGACAGACAGCAGAGGGCAAAACCTATTGAGCTTATCGCTGGCCCGCCATTATCAAATAGGGCAAGAATTTGGTGCAGCATCAATACGTCGCATTCTGCAATTGACCTTCATTATTAATTGGAAAATCTACTGCTAGGGAGACGAGTAAGGTGCGTATGTTGTAAATCGGCTGATATTGAACTCACACACGTAAATCTGAGTGCTAAGATGTGACAGTTTGAAAAGCGGAGTCCCTTCAATTAGTAGGTAGGCAACATACGAAACACTCCGCTGCGGAAGCAATAATTGGACAGCATTTTGCATATGGGACCCACAATTTCTGGCTCAGTTGAGAAACACATGCACTACCACTAGTTTCCTTAAGACCTAGATACACATGGCGATTAAATCGCCATTTTGCATATGGGACCCACAATTTCTGGCTCAGTTGAGAAACACATGCACTACCACTAGTTTCCTTAAGACCTAGATACACATGGCGATTAAATCGCCGTGTGCCGTGTGTATCCTATGCCTTAACGAAACTAATCGTAGTGCATGCGTTGTGCGTGTTGCAGCACGAATGGCCCAAAAATATTTCATAGGCAATTAAAAGGTGAACTAGGGGCAAGTGGCAGCTACGCGGCCGCCAACCACTGAAAATAACTACGAGTAAAAATCGAAGAGCAATCATGTTCAAGTTTTGTAAGAGATGAATGGATTCAAAACCCGACTGGTGCACCCAAAAGAAAGCGCATTTTTATCTCTGATTGCAACATTATGCACCACTTTTATGTTTTATTTTTAATGAATTGTTTTAAAAAGCACAGAATTTTTCTGAAAAGTTTTCGCAAATTTACCTGAATGACCTCAAATAATAGTATCGAAAATTTCGACGCAATATTTTTGTTTGTTCTATTTTCTTTTAATGCAACCCCAAAAAAAGCAAATATCATCAGAATTAAGGGTTTTGTACTCACTTTTTCTTCCCGATGGAGATTGATGTTTTACTTTCAAGCTTGAAAGTAAAACATCAATCTCCATCGGGAAGAAAAAGTGAGTACAAAACCCTTATCAATCAAGCCCGATAAAATGACCAACCAAAATTTCAACTTAATCATCAGAATTCGTGAATCGTTACAATGAGGATATATATTTTCCCTATAATTATGGTAAAAAATGGAGCAGAAAGTCAAGAATGCAGTCCTACAGCATGCCCACAGTCTTGTAGACGCTAATATGCGGTTCATGCCAATTCACCGTCTGCACTGCGTTGGGTGCAATGCGAGAAGTATTCACGCTGTCTTGTAGGCGCTTACACCGGCCGCACTGTTTGGCGCGATGCGTGAAGTATTCATGGAGTCTTGCAGGCGCTAATATACCTTTAACGCCGGCCGCACTGTGTCCGGCGCGATTATTGTGGCTCGCGTTAGGCTAATCGTGGTATCGAATAATAGAGCTTAAAAGACCTTTGTTGTGTTCCGACTCTGTATGAGCATTCCAACGTTGCCGCGTTTCTTCCGATAAAATATTTTTTCCGAGAAAAGTTAGGAAAGTTCTTCATACCCACGACCATTATTCAATCTTTTCACTTCATTTATCATTAGAAGCTGTAGGACATGACTTGTCAACAAACTAACCTAAACTAGCATTAACATGAAAATGCGTCTATTTTCCAACTCCTGTGTTGCCAAACTTCTACCTTAAATTAACTTCATTTTAGATTTGCACATTCCTGTAGCAGATGTTAAGGTTTCTATTCGCGCAATCGCCCAAGTAGCAGTGATCGCGATAAATAGCGATTTTATCGGTTAATTATCGCGATTATATCGAAGGCAATTTATCGCAATATTATCGAATAAAAAATTGCGATTTACGGCGATTAAATCGCTATGCATCGCAATTTTTTGTTCAATAAAATCGCGATCAATTTTCGTCGATAAAATCGAGATTAAATCGCCATATATTGCGATTTTTGTTGCGATAATATCGCGATAAATTGCCGGGCGATAAAATCGCGATTTTATTGCAACAAGATCGAGGATAATCGCTCAGGTGTTGATGATCTTAGCGATTTTATCGCCGACAAAATCGCAATAAATCGCGATTTTTCCGTTGAAAAATGCTACTTGGGTCCTTGTGCCTTTTTCTGGCAATCCTCGTAAATTTTTTTAGACCTTTCTTGTAATCCTGGATTACCGTCTAGATGATTATTACCTAATTTATGGAAGTTGATGGTTGTCATTTGCGTTTGCGTAGGTTTGAAGACATCCCGAGCGTGTGGTGGCAAGTGACGACGATCGTGATGTGTCTGGGATGTGCACTGAGCGTCCTGGCCTCCGTCACCGCCCTCTCCGCCTGTTGCTTCAGCTACGTCCTCCACTCAACCTCGGCGAAGACCACCGGAGGAATACAGCTACTCGCAGGTGAGCTCCCCTCACCCACATTTCTCCATAGGTCCTGCCGATTTTCCAAGTTGGCAACACTGTTTTTCCACCGTTTAAATCCATTAAAAATATCGATTTTAGGTGAGACAAACTGGCTCACCAAGAGTCGATTGTTTTACATACATTTAAATGGAGGGGAAATAAGTGTTGCCAATTTTCAAGAATCGCCACTATTTACATGGTGATTTGGACGTATTTCTGTTAAACGGAACTGAGCGCCGAATTGAGTTCCTTTTGAGGATTTTAGAATCCTGGATAACGAGTTCTGTCAAACGGAATTGAGCGCCATGGAAAAGCATCGCTAGTATAGGACGGAACGAGAATCGCGTTCCGCAACACCCGCCAATCCAAGCCCCCCTCTCCCTTCCTCCCCCGATGGCGCTTAGTTCCGTTTGATAGAAATACGTCCATTTGAAGTTAAAGCGCCAGACTGCAGGAGCGTGTTCTATCGGTCAAACTTAGAGTTTTTATTCCTCTGGACAATTTTTTCTAAAAGTCCTTTTTAAGGGACCTGTACTGCCGTACTAGGGAAAAACACCGTATGAACCTTCAGGCATTGCCAAATTGCCTCTGATGAAACACGAATTTCCTAGAAAATGTATATATATTTTCCTTCCGATTTTTTGGATAATTTTGAACACAATTCCACCTGAAGTTCCTGAAAATTTCAAGGAAAAATATTGATGACTTTCCTCAAAAATGAACATTTTATTCAAGGAAATTTGGCAAACCTTGAATGTTCTTATGGCGTTTTTCCTTAGCACGGCAGTAGGTATAGTTCACTCAAAGTGCTGGAGAATAAAGTCGACACTGAGTCGAATAGTTCCTGCAGTGTAATCGGGGTCAATAATATGCCATGCATGCAATGGCATAAAATTAAATGTTTCTGGGCACGTAAAAAAGTTTCTGGGGGGAAACATTCTGTCAATGGGAAGTGCTGTTCCTTTTAAATTACTTAAACTTTGAGGCAACCCTGCTTTGCTGTTGTGCTCATCTCTGTGCAGGGTTATTAACGATCAATGCGGAGGAAAACTCTACCAAATGTCCAAGGTGACTCTAAACTCTGTAATGACTTGAAAACTGTTTCATATGACTGAAATGAAAAAAAATTCAAAATGGCAACTCTAAAATGGAATTTTCTATTTTTCAGCTCTGTTGATGACCAGTGGAGCTGCCCTTTATCCCCTTGGTTGGGACAACCGGCAAGTCCGGGAGTCCTGCGGCCATCTATCATCAGCATATAAGCTCGGTAAAACAATTTGTTTTTAGTTAATTTACAGCTAAATCATTAGTCCAGGCAAATAAGCCATGCAAGGGGCTATAGCCTGCAAAAATCCCGGGTAGCAATGTTTTCATCGATTCCTATGTAATTTTTGACGCTGAATCCGAATTTCAACTTTGCGCCATTAAATTCGGACCGGAAAGTTGCCAAATTTGGCAAAAATGGCCTAAAATCGGCCTTTTTTCCGGATTATGGCCTGTAACTTGCTAAAAATTGATCTGACGATAAAATTAGTTATTTTCAGAAATAAAGCTCGTTAAATTTCCTATAAAAAAGTTCCATACACTTTTTTGCTCAGGGCAAAATCAAGCGCGCTGGCGGGCTCCAAACTTTGAAAAATGTGCGAAAATTGCGCATACTGTAATGTGTTGGGTTATCCTTATTATTTACATCAATTCATTTCACTAAGTGTAAATTTTATCATTTGCAATTAATTTGTCCAGAAATTACCCGTCGGACGATTAAAACAGGAGACATGGGGCAAAAACCGCGAAAAACACAATTTTCGCTCATTTTTTAAAGTTCGGAGCCCGCCAGCGCGCTTGATTTTGCCCTGAGCAAAAAAGTGTATAGGAACTTTTTTATAGGAAATTTAACGAGCTTCATTTCTGAAAATAACTAATTTTATCGTCAGATCAATTTTTAGCAAGTTACAGGCCATAATCCGGAAAAAAAGGCCGATTTTAGGCCATTTTTGCCAAATTTGGCAACTTTCCGGTCCGAATTTAATGGCGCAAAGTTGAAATTCGGATTCAGCGTCAAAAATTACATAGGAATCGATGAAAACATTGCTACCCGGGATTTTTGCAGGCTCTTTTCCTTGTTTGCCTGGACTACATAGATTATAGCAATTTTTGAAATCTCACTTAAATTAATGTCGAACAGGTTTCCACCGTGACTTTTTTAGGTTGTCACCCATGCATTCTTTCCTATTACATTTATTTTTGCAGGAACGGAAATTTTTTGAGCTGACAGGCTTAATTGAGGTACCGGATGCAAAGGGCACTTCTCAGTTACAGTGTTCCAGAGTCTCCTCTAATATTTCATTCATTATGAGGAAAGTGAATGGTTCCATTTCACTGACAAATTTAATGAGTATTCCTTATGATTCTAAAATTTTTTTTGGCAAGAATTCTGGAAAAATTACCCATTAAATTCTTCTCCAAGGGATTAATTAGCAACAGAGATTCGGAAAAACCCCGATCAAGAAGTACCCTTCTTGCATCCAGTGCCTTAATTGCTGGAGTTAATAATGATATTCAAGTTAATACAATGTTTTCAACAATGATCGACAAACGACAACCAATGTTCTGAGGGCGGTTAGATGTTTGTCATAAAACGCAATTTCAGAGAATGGCTGTTTCAAATTCTAATCCGCCATGTTCAGGGCACAATACTGCAAGATTATAATACAGCTTTATGCCCTCAATTGCCACAGAAGTTAACTAAGCTGATCGCCATTTGTTCTTTGGAATATACCTTAGAGATTTATGAAAATTTGTCCATTTAATTCAATTTGATGAACTTCATGTAATAATGATAACTTTAACTCTTTACGTTTTTACAGGAACATGCCAGCTCTCTTGGTCTGCCTACATAATCTGCTCTGCGATTGCAATGCTATTACTATGTGCTCTCCTTAGTATATGTGCAGCCAAAAACTCATGACATACATGACTGACATATTCAGGACTTTCATACCAACGATGCAAATAGTTTTGGGATATTTCAGCAACCTAGGTTCACTCTCGGATACTATGAAAATACTTTTAAAAGGTGATTATCTCACTTTTAGTTAAATTTTCTTGAAGAATTATTTCTTGCACATGCATCATGTACAAAAATTATTTTAAATTTACTACCTAGTTATTTTAGAATAAAAAGTGTATTTAACTTTACATTGGCTTCACTCAAGTGCCTTTCGACGTCACAAATGCTATTTTGACAATAATTTGTAAATACCCATTAATGTTTGCCTTAGAGGGGTCTAAAATGTAATTTGATTAAGAATTAAACCAACTAGGTATGGAAAAAGTATGTATTTATTTTATCAAGTGCAAAATTGTTGATAACACAATAATGTTCCTAAAACATGTATTTTTATACAAATAATAGAAAATATTTTTTCTTCAAAGGATGACCTGTTTTCTTCCTCTTTTTTTTAGAGAGAGAGAGCCAGAAGGCAACTTCTTATGGAAATATAGAATGACTGAGAAAAACAATTCTTGCAGATACAACTCTGCAACAAACATTTCAGTTAAGATAGATGGTGTTTTAATTAGGCCAGTGTGTAGTACGGGTATAATGGGCCTGTTGCATGCAAGAGATACAGCCGTGCGAATAGACTTAATAGAGGTTAAATGACACAAAAATTACGATGGTCAAATTAAAAAAGTCTGAAATACACTCCTTACTGCGCAATTTGTGTTGTTAGGAACGCGCTTTTTCAAATTTCCCGCGTCTGGGGGCAGTTTTCTAACGGAAACAATTAACGGCAACTCGCGGCTATTTCCGGTCAACTAAAACTGACAATATAACCTAAAAATCGGAGCTCGTGACATCGTGAAATGAAATGTAGAAGGATTGCGTTGGATATTTAAAAGTTGATCGATTTGGTTACCGCATAAAGCGTATATGGACCACTATAGGAGATCACGTTGGGTTTGTAAACAAACTGAAGGAAAAAATAACAACAACAACAACAACGACTCGGCATCTTCCGGAAATCACCGAGCCCGCCGTTTGCTCGTTTCCGGTGATTAGAAAACTGCTCCCAGACGCGGGAAATTTGAAAAAGCGCGTTCCTAACAACGCAAATTGCGCAGTAAGGAGTGTATTTCAGACTTTTTTAATGTGACCATCGTAATTTTCGTGTCATTTAACCTCTAAAAAGTCTATTCGCGCGGCTGTATCTCTTGCATGCAACAGGCCCATTACCTATTGAAAAACATATTTCCTTGCATACATTCAATACCTTTTCCTTGTGAAGGAAATTTTTCAAAAAAAGATTTTGTACTCGAAAACATTCTACACCTTAGCATGAGCACAAATGCCCTTGGTCAATATTGCATCCATCGGGAAAGGGAGCAAAATTTAAAAAATTCATTTTTAAAAGAAGTTAGGTAAGTACATTTTTTTCTGTTGAATAGAGAGTAAAATAGCACAGTTGAGAAAAGGTAGCAACTTAAACTTAAACCATAATGCTATGATAAAGGGATGACTCACAATAAAAATTTATATTCACTGAGAGATACTTGTTTTACAAGCGGAAAAATTGCAAATGATATTAAAAATGTACTCACAGAGCAAATTAAATACTTTGAGGAATTTTTAAGAGTTATATTCTGATATCCCTTACTTTTTTTGCAAAATTAAGCGAGCAGAAGTTTTAAAATAAGGGGGGCATAATGGTCGGTGAGCAGATTTTTATTATTTCTTGTACGAAGAGGTGAATCGATTCATATAGTCAACAAATAGTTTAGTTTCCTCAAGCGTGATGGCATTGTAGAGAGACACACGGATTCCACCCACAGACCTGTAACAAGCCAAAAAGTACATAGTATGAATGTCTGATCATTAAAACGAAAAATTGATTGAGATTACTAAGCACTAAATCTACACAAGCGCATGTGACCATTTATGAAGAAAGAGACTTAGGTACTGAGAAACGCGACCCTGATGCGGATTTTAAAGTCTCTTTAAAAATTGTATGTATGAGAGAAAGCTTTGTTCTTAAAGTTCCCTATAATCTTCCATGTTTGAAGCTTTAAATTATCAAATTATGAGGTTTTTCTCTCTACCAGGAAAAAGATGAGTTTTTCTATGGGATACAAGAGACAATTCGTAACCGAAAATTCGATTTCTGATGTGTCTACTCGATCAACAAAAAATCAACTTTTTTTGAGGCCCTTGATGGTCACTTATAAGATAATCTTGAAAAAAATTGAAAAAAAATCTTCATTTCCATTACAAAGACAAGTTATCATATAACTAGAAATTGGTTTCTTTACCAAATGCTGATATTTCTTGAGATAATTTCAGAAAGAAAATATAGCTGTAAAGAGTTTTTCTTTTCTTAAAAAAAGGTGTGGTTCTGAAATTTATGCTCAATTGAAGAGAATGAATGATAACTTTCTTCACTTACCGGTGACCTTTGAGTTGTGTCATGCCTAACTTAGAAGCACCTTTGAGAAACTCGGCGTCTGCATCCGCTCCACCTCTGAGCTTGAAAGGAATGTTAACACGAGATCTGACATTTTCATCGATGGGACTCTCATAAAATCCCTTAGAGTTCCTAATTGCTTCATAAACACTTCCACTCTTGAGCCTACTTCTTTCTTGCATGCCCTCGACTCCACCGTTCCTTCTGATCCATTCAAACACTCGCCAAATGGTGTATACTCTGAAAAAATAAAATAACATATTCGAAAAATTAAGAATTAAGTTGACGGTTCAATTCAGAAAAAAACTGAAACTTGTTTTTGAATATAAAAATAATGCTTTTGACCTGCTTTCCCTGTATATTAAAATCAATTTTGGAACCAAATATACTATGGCAAAATAATTTTACTAAAATAAAACTCAACATTCTAGATAATCTTTCATTGTGCATTGTCATTACGAATTACTCATAGAACATTTCAATGACGCTTGCACAAACTGTCCAAATGTGAAAAAATTCCATCAAAACAGAGGTAGTTATGAGAAGATCACTTGGTAGAACACTTTTAATTTAGAAGTATCGGTACCTAATAAATGACTAAAAAGTTTCTGGGAGTTTTTAGTCATACTTAGGGAAACATTAAGTCTTATCACACACCAAAACTTCTGCTGGGTGGTCTATTTTATTAGTACATGGTTAGAAATGATCATCAAATGCCTTATTACATTGATAATTATCGTCTATCAAAGCCCACAGGTTATAGTTTTTCAAAATAATTCAACTTACTGGAATGTTGGTGGGGTGTTCAGAACACTATTTTCTTTAGCAATTTGAGCAAAGTCGAATACTGATGGAGTGAAAGGCAAAGCGCTTCCAAGGAGATCATCTCTCACAATAGCTACTACAATTCCTGACGGACCAAAGTTCTTTTGAGCACCAGCAAATACTACACCAAACTGCAACATAAATTAATGATTAGGATGTTTCATTAATACAAGATTATAAATTCATAACTTCACGTCCTTTAACTCTAAAAAGATATTGAGTGAAAAAAATTTGAAGAAATTCAAAAATAACCAATTAGATTTTAATGATAAGCTGGTTTAAACTATTTAACTAAACTTCTGGGTAGGTAGCTCAAAGCAAAAAGTCAAAGTTACAGGAACCTCTAAAGAGGAAGAAACTTATCTATCAGTTTCAGGGGAGAGGTAGAGATCAAAATTGAGTTTTAAGGAAATATAGTAAGAAATAACTTTTGAATAAGTCATGAAAAAATTGATTGAATTTTAATTTTTCACCTTTGATACATCGAAGGGTCTTGTTAGGAAATTTGAGGACATATCTGTAACTAGAGGAACATCTCCAGTTTCTGGTACATAAGGAAATTCAACACCTGAAAAAAAAGAAAATACATGAGCCATGCTGTAAAATTTGACTAAATTTCCTTCCTTGAAAGACACTTATAAATGTTTGACTGACAGATTAACTGAATACATTAGAAATTTGATACTTGAGCAATGTGAGTAAAGACTATTTCAATGATAAAAATGATCATGGCACAGATTAAATTCGAATATTGATTAATCTTGAAAAGGAGTGTGGAAGAAATAACAATTTTTTATTCAAAGGATTATTTTAAACTAATGTTTACTTCGAATAATGAGTCTAAGAAACATGAAAGTTTTTAAATTATTCCGAGGTGTGAATTGCAATAAGACATATTTAATTTTCAATAAAATTTGAAAACTTACACAAATTGATTTCAAATATATTCTTCCAAATGAGGTTTTAAACTACAAGGTATTTTCTATCAATTATATGGACCTCTGCCACTCATTTCCCTCACTTTCTACCATTTTTCTGCCGTTTTACTTTTTTCATCAAAAACCAATCAAAATGTTTCCTTGCGATTGTGTGTGATTTTTTTTTTTTTTGGAATGAGGGAAAAAATTACACACAAAAATCAATAGAAACTGCTGATTTGCATTCCTCAGAAAAAAAAATAACATAAAACATAAGCAGAGATTTACGATGTTGCAATCTGAGAAACGCATTTTTCAACTTTAGCAATCAGTTACCTTGTCTACATGAGAGAGAATCATTTTTGAATAAAAAGTTCGACAGAGAATATTTCCATTTCAGAAAGTGATCAGGCTGCTGAAGGCTTCTGGGTAACATTCTCTGAATGAAAAGGGGTATTAAAAAAGAAAGAAAGAAAGATACATAGTTGGTTTTCATAGTACATACCATCTACAGTTTCATTATCACAGTAGTAAACATAGGATGCATCGGGGCTGAGCTTCCACTCTGATTGATCCTGAATTGTACCTATTTTGGTGTCTGGAAGTACTAGATTCACTTTGCCATATTTTGCAGCTTCTTTGGCTGCTTTCTTAGACCATGTTCCTAAAAAGAAAAGAAGGTGTCAGATTTTTTACGAATTTTTAAAATACAAATGAATGGACAACTACCAGTAATGAGTCGCAGCAACTCAATCAAATGGTTAGGACAACAGAGCAAGGTCATTAAAATTCATAAAAAAATCTACAGGATGCTTTAAATGTAAACATGGTATACTATTTCTGTCATATATGACACTGGAAAAAGAAATTCTGGTGCCTATTGGTGTCAAAAACAAAGGACTGTGTCTCAGGTCTAGTAAAAGATTAAAATAACCCTAGCCTGTGAACAAGGATCAGGGCTGAAAACGGAATCGGTTTTCTTAGGTTTTAGAAAGTTATGGTAGAAAATTAAAGGTCCCTCCTTGTCCATCATAAACATTGGGATTTTTACCCTTTCACTCCTGCAAGCATACTGCGATAAACTCTTTAAAATGCAGTTTAAAATTGACTTTAAAACATTGACTGGATTTGGTGATTTTAAAAAACTTCGACTTTTTTTACTTCATAAAAAATAATTGGATCTAACTAATATTTTCAAAGTACAGAAAAGTTTTGACTTTTTAAACGATTTTTATTTTTAGAAGGGTGTCAACATGAGTTTGATACCCTTTACAAGAGGTTTTCCGTAATCGATTCACGATTGCAAACCATGATAAGACATATGGGCCCATTTATCCTAATGCAAATTTTTTTTTCTCAGCCAGTAAGAACTTCAGACTTAACTTTGATTCTCAATAAACAATAATTCTTAGGAAAGTGAAAGAATTAGCCATACGATGATAATGGATTGTATTGAAAATCAGCTGAGGCTCTACCTGTCACAATATAATCAGCTGATCCAGTCCGTGAAATGAGGTTCATAGCAACTGCAGCGAAAAGTCCAGTTCCTCCCCCTTGCATGAACAATATGTGATAATTATCAGGAATGTTTCTGAAAGAAAAAGATAGTACCAAGGTATTTGAATCATAAACAAGAATTTGTGCTTCTAATGATAGACTAGATCACTATTGTGCGCTTTATATTGCAATGTAGTAGATCACTATATTGCGGATAATTGACAGGAATTATGATACATTAATATTATCATTTTTTCAAAGACATTCATTTGTGATTTCCCTTGTAAATGTAAAAAAAAGGGATGAGGGGTAAGTGTGATCAAGCCATAATTACTCTACTGATTCTGAATCATTTCTTGCAATGTAAGCCCTGAAATTTGGGGAAAAAATTGAATTTTCTCAAAAATTAATAAGTGTAAATGATCGCAAATAATGTGGCACAAACCTCTAGAATGTAGTTAAGTCATACTTGACTGATACTTTGACTTAAGAGCCTTAGTCCCTTAAGCCTTAGACCCTTAGTGCCTTAGAGCTTACGGCCTTTAGTCTTGCACGTTAAAACCTAAAATTGCCTCTTGTCTGTCTGTAACACAATCTTCACTGACAAGAGTCTGGGTGTAAATGAATGAAATAAATCGCTTTCTACTGTAGAGGCAAAGAAATTTTGATCAAACATGCTCCCACCATCAATATTTTACTAGGCGGTGAGATAAGAAAATGAAAAGAGAAAATTTATAATGATGCGACCCTATTAGCTACATACATAAAACATTCTGGAGAGACAAAAGGGAACGCTGAATAAGCTATGATAAATTTTAGTATTTTTGAGGATTAGCTGGTACTTACAGTAAGTTCCTTAAAGAATTTTGGCAATTATTGTTGATATTTAAGTAGTCCGCAGATCGGTGGCTCATTTCCATCACACTCATTCCCGTTCCTGCATAGTTCAAAAGCTCCTTTTGAACCTCTAATAAAACCTGGTAACATAGAATGAATGTTAAGTAAATTGAACAGAATAAAATGACTCGATGATTACATTTGTTCAGTAGGTAAACAGACGTACCTATCAGAAATTCTAAAAGCACTTAGTGAGGAGTGTTCCATAGATAAACCTTGGGGTGTAAATCAAATTATGATCAGCGTTTAAATTGATTTAATAGATAGAGATTTCATGCCTCAAGACGCTGGAAAATTTTGATTTTATTAAGGTACAAGTATCAAAAAAAAAAAGGAATGCGACAAACCCATTTTTTCTATTTGGAGGATTCATGGTAAAATTACATAGATTATGTAGTTTACTAACTTACAAATAGGTTACTGTCTGATGAAAATCAGAAAATTTAGTGCCCAGTTGATCTCAGAAAATAAAGTCGCAAAGGGATAAATAACTTATGATTTAGAAATCATAATTAAAAACTGAATGAAAATAGGAAAATAGTGGAATCAGTAAGTATCATACGAAAAAAAGAAACTTAAAAAAAGAAAAATAATTTCATTTTATCAAAAAACTCACTTCCTCTGGTAGTTTTGCTGGTCCAGCCCCAAAATTGATCACTTTCACTTCCGGCATCTTTGATCACAGAGTAACAGTGTCTATAACCAGTTTATTAAAGGACACAACCAACAATTAGTGAAAGTTTGGAAAAACTTGACAAAAAAAAAGAACAATCAGTCACAGTAAAATAAATACAAATAAATGCTATCTCAACTTCATAGTTCGAAGGAGGTGAAAGTAAATTGAAAGATTAGCTGAGTAATTTTCACGAACGTCTGCACTGCTGAAAAGTCATGCTGTAACAGATTCAATCAAATCAAATATGAAATGAGTATATGAGGTGATGTCTTATCAGTCAATGAAGTGCTTATAATCTTATGTAACACGTCATAGGGTGCTTGAATCAATAGGAAAGCTTATCAATATTTGGACAGCTTCAATTACCGAGCGTCACTGATAATTGGAACATTTTAACACGGCAACAGAAACAAAGTTAGGAGCCACACTTAAGATATTAGTGTCTCACTGTCTCAAGAATCACTTGACACTTTTTTTGGTGGATTAATTAGTTTTGTGATTGCCTTTTACCTTGCAAAGTTCAGGACTTTACACAATAAAATATATTTAAAACTGCAAATATTTAAATAATTCACTCTTATTAATTAAAAGGACTTCACTGCATTTTTTGTGTCGGTTTCACAACCACAGATTGGTCTACAAAATGGATTATGAAGAAAAAAATATTCTTCAATCTCGGTTCAACAAATTGGAAAACTGATGTCACGCTGAGCTATTGCCTCCACTAAACTATTATCAGTTACCTATGGATCTTATCTGATATTAAATAGTCACTAGCTATCAAATTTAAAAAAGGTATTTTCATATTCTCAATTTACCTCTTTATAAGTGTACTTTAATTTTGATAATCACCCTCAATTGATGATTTGGGTGCAAAAAGGACTACCACATAGTGGTTTAGAATTCCCAACAAAAATTTCTTTTTTTTTTAAGTGCGGATATTACTGGATCATTGATCTCGAGATCTGCGCTGAGAATACGGTTAAACTATGAAGAACATTTCCATCTTTTTACAAGCATTTTTCCCCAGCAAGTTTAAAAAAATTTAAAGGAAATTCCCAAACACTAACACTGAGAGGTGCCCTGTATGCATCCAAGTCCACAATTTCTTTAATTTTTCAAAGTAGTAGCAGTATGCAACTTAATTTGTTTAAAAGACACTAGGTATTCAATGGATGACCTTTTTATTTTTTTCCTCTAGACCTTACATTTCTCTTTAATGTACATAACTCAAAAGTTTCCAAACAAAAATACCATTTCATGCATGACATACTAACACATGGGCAAAATATCCTAGTAATTAATTTAAAGGATTTCTCGGTGGATGAGAGCTTTGGCTCCCCTTCCTTCACATTAAAATGAGCTTTATTTTTCAAACTTCTTTTTTAAAGAAAAGGGAGGGAAACAAATCGTAAAATTTGTTACTTCCCAAAATTTTCCACCATTGGCTAGGGCCCTCTTCATATGTACTTCTGGACAAAATGTCAATGTGATTGATTATCGACATTTTTTTTTTTCTCAACTTTTTAAATTAATGTATGGGGTGAAAGGCATTAGCTAAACAAAAAGCAATGGTTATAATTAGCTTGGGTATCTAGAGAGCCCTTTCAAAAGATTAATTTCAGACTGTGAGCTAGAGCTTAAGAATTCAAGTAATTAATAATTCTGATTAGGTAACAGAGAGGTTATCATTACTTGATCGATGAACCGGTTTCAACTAGAAACTCTCCCACGTGTAAAGTCTGACTTGTGCCTCAATGACTAAATAAGAATATGTAATGCCATACACGCCAAATTCGAGGTATAAAAGTTTTGTTATATAATACAATTTGTATTATGTCAGCGTTAATGACTTGGTTGAAATGTAACAGGCTTAACAAAGGGGTAACCATTAAAGGACATTGGATGTGAGACTTGAGATAAAATTATTTTAAATATTTTTGGACGGCTAGAAATCAGAAAACTTTAAACAATTTTTCAATATAACAGCTAGAAAAATGCTAAGCCTCAAAAGTCAAATTAAAAGCAAGGGAATTTCATGTTCTGAAATACTTCATTTTTGAAGAGGGAGAGGCATAGATCATTTAGACACAATTCAAGTACTTACCTAACTTTCAGGGGGATTTTTCCTTCCTTTAAAAAAAAAAGATCCACTATCAGTTGGGCTATGGAAAATTATAACAAGGTTGTTATGTCTTCATCCTCTTTTCCTTTTTCAATTAAGTACACATCTGAAAAATAAATGAGTCATAAACATGTTATTGCCAATAACCCTTATCAACGGACGCATTCATAGAGATTTACCTACTTGAGAATCAACAATGCATTCTGATTTCAATCTCTGAGATGGAGGCTGATGATGTCAGTAGGAAATTAGGAATATTTAAGAATTCTAACTTACGGTAAAAATATTTTGCACTATAACTTAGAAGGGAAAATTATTCTTATAAAACTCATGGACTGACTCTGGGTTGCCTTCACTAATTACATTGCCTTAAGTATTTTATATTTTGTGTGCATTTTGAAAATACAATTAAACTTAAAACATCAACCGAGATTTTTTGACTCATTCTCAGGAGTTTACTCATTTTATTTGTCCATAAGAAACGAGACTTCAGTACATTTCCTCAGGGGGGGGGGGGGGGGGCGCATTGTTAAGGAGAATGTGTGGTCAAGTGAGGTTAAAAAGTCAGACTTTGTATTATTGGCATAAAATAATCATTAATATCCTATATAATAAATTGCAAGAGAAATGGTAAATTTTTTGCTCCAAAAGAGAACATTAAGTTGCTTTAAAATTTTGAAATTTTTCAGCCCCGAACACATGAAATTGAAATTTTAAAAAGCTTCTTCTAAAAATCATGTTTATTGAAATGAGATTTTTAAAATGTCATCTTACGATTAATATGATATATCTGTACATTTTGAGCGCCAAAATTTGATCTTGGCCGTCAAGCAGAGGTGTCAATGACTTCATATCAAGTTTTTTGGCACTAAGGTCTGTAATTCTGCGGATGGTCACAATTCTGGGTGGCCGCGATGCCAAAATCAATCGAAAATATAACATTCTCTTCATTAAGTCCTTTAAATAAACAAAAAAATATAATAATATTAATGCGAATACCTTCAGGATGAACTTTTAAACTTCGTCTTTAATTAGGAAAGAGAGGTTGCCTCCTTTACATAATTTCCAATGAACATTTTTCGAAATAAAGAGCAAATTAAATAAGAGAAAATCTGTCCGTCAGCGAGAAAACTGATCAGAACATTGAGCAGAGAGAATAAAAAGAGTCTGAGATGATACAAGTGGAGCATGTGACAAGTGCACTGCACTCTCAATCATTTCAAGTTGACAGTTTTGCAAATTAAGCACAATTCGTGCAAAGCTCTTACTAATAACGAGCTGATAATTTTACGCATCGTAGCACTAGCCACAAGATTATTAACCTACTAGTGAAGTGCACTGATAAGACAAGGAGACATCATTAACAGTGATTACATGTAACTTAGTGAGATTTGGCTCTAGGTTGATAAAACTAATGACTATTTGGAAAATTGGCCGATTCCATTGATGCGAACTTGTTTCCTCAAAGCATTTTACTCAGATTATTAGATTTATTAAACCCAGAACTTTTGACACTCTGGAATTTAGCTCAAGCTTCTTGTAAAATGCCTAAAAAGATGAAGAAAATTGTAATTTTTCACCGGAAAAATTTGAACTGAAAAAGTTTTCACATCCTGTGGAACTTTTCTTGTTTTTATATTTAACATTTTGATAAAAACACACTTGATAACACTTTGATATGGTCATATTTTTTTTTGTTAATTTTTTAAAAGTAAATCTTGTTCCGCGCAACTGTTGAATGTATATAAAAAATTCCTCTTCACTGATATTAGGTTTCATTGCCGGTTAGTTTTGTTTGAAGTAAAAAAGTGGCTCAGTTGTGATAAGGCAAGTATTGGCGAGAAGCAAGTGCTTTGACAGGAAAACTTTATCATTTGCACATTTTTATCTAAAGTAACCTATTTTACAAAAGCTCACCAGGTCACAAATTCACGTTAGCCTCTCCTTAAATCTCGATAAGGTTCAATGGCCCAGTCTGAGTCAATATGTCTGTAGATTGCATCAAATTATGCATTATCAATACAATGCCTTCGGACAGTTTTATGCTTAATTTCTGTAGTCATTTGCTTCTGAAAATCAAGAGGTTGGTTAGGCCATGTGTTCATTTCAAAGAGTGTCTCAGTACTCAAATTTTCATAGGAAATAAATAGTTCGGAAAGTAAAGAGAATAATATAATATTCTAAATAGTCAATTTTATTAAAAATTTATTAAACTGAAATGACAAAAATATAATTTGAATCAATGATCTAGAAAGACTTATGTGGTTATTTCAAAGTATTTTTGGGGGGGAAGGGGGGGGAGGTATAAAATAGTACGGTTAAACAGAATACTTTTAGGATGAAACTGGGAATGTTGCATTTTAAAGACTAGCGTGCAAAAATTTCAAAATTTTCTTTTTTTTTGAATCGGCCAATGAAAAATTATTCTAAAAATATACACTTATAAATGAAAAGAAATTTTCATAGTGCATGATGAAAATTTACACAACAAATACTGAGAAAAAAAGCAAAAAGAAATCAAAGACCTATAAAATCAACAATTAATGCTTAGCTATTTCTGAAAATTTCAATAATATCAGTTTTCGTGGAGCGAAAAGTTAAAATAAAGGTTGAAAAATCCCGAACAATATCACATGCACACCTTATGGTGATATTACCTCTAGAAAGACATCCTATGTCAAACTGCAATGACTCAAGACAAACATTCACAGGCAAGGCATCTTAGTTAACTATGTTTAAAAATTATAAATAGTGAAAGAAATTAAAAAAAAACATTTAACACCGAAATTACAAGGATATACATTTTCCTAATTTTAATTTATCATGAGAGATTGATGACATTTATTGCTTGTTAACATAACATTGATGAAATTATAACTTCGAAAATAAAATGCGTAGCAATTTTAAGGAGTTCAGTCAGAGTCAGAATCAATTTGGAGTTTCCTAGTTTTATTGACAGTGTTGAAACTACTCGAGTTTAATTTGAGTGGAGATTGATTAGAGTCAGAATCTAGATGCAGGGATAATTTGGCGCTGGGGGTGTCATTTGAGTCTGAATTCAAATGCAGCACCATCTTGGCTGGAGTGTTGTTCGTATCAGAATCTGGACGTGAAAATATCCTTGCAGGCGAGTCATTTGAATCTGAATTCAAGTAAAGTGACATTCTACTGCCTGGAGTGTTACTCGAAGCCTCAGGCAAAGTTTTACTATTAGGGGTGATTTTTGAGGCCGATCCTGATCTGACTTTGATTCCTCGTTTGGGCGTGTTATCACTTCTATGTGCTGGGACTTTGCTCTTGGGACTAGTGAAAGTTTCATCATCAGAGCTATTGATTTCAATAGCGGGACTTAGACTAGAACTGGTTTTGTTTTTGATGAAAGAACAAGTTTCACTATCAGAGCTATGTATTTCAATAGTGCCACCGTTCTGACGCTCTGCTGCCTTACTCTTTGAAATTAGTGGAGTTTCATCATCTGAACTGTTAATCGTGATTGATTGTTCTTCCTTTCTTGAGGTTCTTCCTTTGCCATCCTGTACCTCTGAGTCTTCCTCATCAGAGCTTAGTACTCTCCTCGAGCGCTTGTTAGCAGTGATAGAAGAGCTTTGAGATTTTGGTAGGTATGTTTCTTCTTCGTCAGAGCTGAATACTTTCTTAGAGGATTCCTTTCTACTACTAGGAGGAGAGCAATGAGGTTTGGGAGTTTTTTCACTATCACTATCAGAGCTGAGCACTTGCCGAGCACGTTTTTTATCTGAACTGAAAGCTGACTTTGGAGACGCGGTTATAGTCGGTGTTTCATGATTTTCCTCGTCCGAGCTAGCAGCTTTTCTGAGCCGTTTACGAGAGGCAGATTTTTTAGCACTAGCAATGGGCTGCAGGTTACCAGAATCTTCATCAGAGTCAGAGGCAACAAAATTGGAGGTTGAGAATTTGTTAGAATTGGAAATTACTTTCAGAGGTGATTTTGTCGGAGTTTTGCTCTCATCCTCCGAGTCTGTTAGCACTTTGGAAGTGCCTTTAGATTGACTTTGACCTGACTTGAAACTTGATGCATTGCTTAAAAAGAAACTTTCGGAATTCTCATCATCACTCTTGTCAGAAACTGGAAGGGAGGTTTCAGCTCTTGCTTGAGAATCCTCCGAGTCTGTTAGCACTTTGGAAGTGCCTTTAGACTGACTTTGACCCGACTTGAAACTTGAAGCATTGCTTAAAAAGAAACTTTCGGAATTCTCATCATCACTCTTGTCAGAAACTGGAAGGGGGTTTTCAGCTCTTGCTTGAGAATCCACAGCATTTGAGTTGAGGCTTCGGAAAAACGTCTCTTCATCCATGTCCGAGTTGTTACTTCTTTGGGAATTTTGGGTGGCTGAGAAGTCACTTGCTGTGCGTTGAGAGTTTTGTGTTGGAGATGTTACCTTTCTCCCTACAGCATCATCATCACTGTCAGAATCAGAGCGCATAGAACTTCTGTGGCTCGGCAAGGTCCCCGGGAAAATGTCACCATTGTCATCATTCAAAACTCCTGGGTCTGAATCACTATCGGAGGTGTCAAACATACCGGTATTTCTGTGAAAAAATTGCAAAAATAGTTTAAAAGCTGAAAGTAAAAAAACTGATAAAATAAAAAATATTTTACAAATAAGAAAGTTATGGTTACGATAACTTCTGACTTTAAATTCCTAACTCTTGCAAAGTATGTATGTACCTCTCGAGGTTTCGACAGTGTTCAATGTCTATCATATTAGAAATCTCCGCCAAATTGTGTCTTGACAATAGTGCAATTTGGTGAGATAATTATTAAGCAGCACACTTAAAATTTACAACCCTTGAAAATTACTTAGTCAGTTATTGGATTGTGATAGATTCATGGTCAGAATAAAATGATGTCTGAGGGAGAAGTTAAAAACTGTCCACCCTAGTGTGTGAAATCACCTTAAACATTTCGGTCAAAATGGTTGAATCTTTTTTTAAAAAAATGTAGGCAGACATTATCCTAACCAATAGCGCAACTTCCTTGAGCTAATGAGAATAGAAGAAGAAAAAAAGAAGGACTTACAAAGGAGCTGGTCCGGATTTAAAAGGAGCTCTCTCATTCTGTGAACCTTCGGCGTCTGAAATTTCAATAAAGAAGCATAATAAATAATAAATTCACGATAAATTTAAAAAAAGAGGAACAAAAATTAACTTTAGCTTTTTGGCTCAAAGACATACTGACTTTCATTAGAAGTCAATGTAATTAGGTTTGGCACTTTGTATCAGAAGTTTCTAGATAAAAGATATCGGAGAAAGCAGCAGTTTCTTAAATTCCATTTCAATAATTACTTCATTTTATTGAGGAATGGGGAGAAAAATAACACATTGGATACAAACAACAATTCTGCAGCTCAAGCGTGCCCCTGTTGCTAGAAATTTGAGTCTTCATCACACAAAGAGTAGCTGGACAACTATTTGAATTTTAATACTTCTGCAGCAAGAAAAAAGGGAGAAGCTCTGATTTGATGTACATTGGATTATTATAAATACCTGAGGCATCTGATTTAGAGTCGCTATCACTGTTGTCATTCAGCAAATCTTCTTGCGCCTTTTGATTCTTCGTTTTTGGTTTGCTTTTGCGAGGCTGTAAGTATACATTTTCATTCATTAAAGAAGAGAAAACAGAATCCAGGAGTTAAGTGAGAAAGCATGAGAGGTCACAGAAATATAATGCAGGTCAGATGAGTGAAGAAAGACCCCTGAACTTCACAAAATATTTGTGGGAGAAACAAAATAGAGTCAGAGCTTTTGCGGGTCAGATGGATGGGGAGAGACCTTCATTTGAAGGCAGCTTGGATTTTTATAAAGTGTCTGACGTCATAGATCATGATATTAATATATAGTTTTTATTGGTGGGCTGTTCTCGGCTGTCTCCAATTTTGACGATCAAGTAGTCATCATTTAGATGATTGTTAGTGGGATAAGAGACTGTGAACTGTTTTTGGGGCTGAACTTGAGATAGAATTTGGAAAATGAATTAAATATTCTGGAATAAACCAAGGGAAGAAAAGTTAGAGAAAATCTGGAAAATATGGGATTTGAACCAAATGAGAAGGTATTGACAAAGAGGGAGAATAATTAGGTAGATGAACAAACCTTGGGTACTTTGGTTGCTTTTAGTCCCAATTCTTTCAATTTTTTGATGACATTTCTCCTTGTCCGTTCCTTGTTGATTAAATTCTTCATGATCCAATCGACCATATCTAGGAGCAGAATAGAATAATTTCAATTTAAATATGGTATCACTTTCGAAGAGTAATGATGTTGGACAAAATAAGGCACATGAAGAGAGATAATGATGAGATGAGCCTCCTGAATTTTGGGAGAAGGAGGACAAAAACTTTTTCGTTCCTTTTCCCACTTTTCCGTTTTCATCAAAACTATTTTGCACAGTGAATCAACAATTTTGAATAAAAGACAAACTTTCAATAGAGTTCGAATAGTATTTGTTTTAATAGCTTCTTAAAGGAAAGAGAAGGACAATGGATTCCAATTGAAAACTATATTTTGAAATAAGTTGAAAAATAAACATCTAAAATACGCGTGAAACATACGTCTGAGCAATCGCTAGCATTACTGGTGGTTGCAAAAGTGACTTGTTGGTGAATAAAGTTCACAAGATTTGAATAACTAATAAACTGGCTATCTAATTTTGTAATTGTATTTTCTGCGGTTAAAATAGCTTTTAAGTGCATGCATTGAAGGTCTTCTTAATTGATGTATGAATGTGTAAGTCGCTTTTACAGGCAGTCACGTGCTAAGGTGCTCTGCGATGCCTACCCGCCACAGGAATTTGTCATGGTAGAGATTCTCCGGAAGCTGGCATTGCTACATCTCTTCACAGATGCCCCCTACCCACTGTTTGGCTGGACGCCCTCTCCGTCGCCTACCTGGAGGGATCCCTTCCAACACCTTCTTTGGCAACCTAGTATCAGCCATCCTCTGCACATGCCCATACCGCACCAAATGCTTGATTGATTAAATTGTCTTCTTGATTGATAAAATTCAATAAATAATCCTTACTTTCCTCTTTGATACTATCCACATAATTACAAGGAAAAATAATGAAATAATTTCCTATAAGATTCACTGTATACAAGACAAATCCCTGCATCTGATTTCACATTGGCAGCAATGTAATCATTTACCAGGAGAGCAGAAAAAAAGTTCTTTCTGACGCTACCAGAAGCAAGAATATACATACCTCCCTCCGGCTTGTCACGCTCATATTCCTCAAAAAGGACGCGGAGCTCATGTTCTTGTTCCTCGGTCCAAAAGCGGTTCTGGGAACCTCGCTGTGGCGCCTCTTGCCCATAGCCTGCTTCCATCTCAAAAGCTGTCTTCTCGGTCTTCCAAAACAACAACTCCATGAAAACTAGTTTATTCGTCTTGGATATTTCTGTAAATCTGCGAATTATGTAGACAGCAAATTTCTGCAACTCCTGAAAGAAAGTAAAAAATAAATGGATCAATGCAACAATAAATGATCTCAGCTCTAAGGTTGATTCCATTAATTCCAGTTCTTTTTCTTTAAAATTGATATTATGTATCTACGCTGCCGTGCTAAGGAAAACGCCGTATGAACATTCGGGAGTTGCCAAAGTTTCTTTACTGAAATGTTCATTTTTGAGGAAATTTGTGAATATTTTTCCCTGAAATTTTCAGAAACATACGGTGAAATTGGGAACAAAATTATCTGAAAGATTGGAAGAAAAATATTCAGGGAAGTCGTGTTTTATCAAAAGAAATTTGGTATCTCCTGAAGGATCATACGGCGTTTTTCCTCAGCACGGCAGTATGACACTCGTACGGACCAACTTTAACAGAAAGGAACCAAAACAAATCAAAATTGAACCAAGAGACAGAGGTTTTAAGTTTATTTCTTCCATGAGGTTGGATCCTAGAAATAAAGTTCAATATACCTATTTTCACAATCGACGTATTTTATGTCAACTTCGAATTTTTAATAGGAGAATAAACGTAAGGCCGGCTAAGCTCAAAAATAATCCTGCCTCATTTTTTACACGATGTAAGTTGGCTCCTTTTTGTTTACCCCTTAGATGCTAAAGCGGGGCCAAAATGACCTAAAGTCACGTGACCTAACGACACGTGACCTGCAAGTTGTATGAGGTCCGTACATACGAGCTTCAAATAGGTCTACAAAAACATCCTAAAATGAAAAATCAGCCATCAAACTGAATAAAAAAGAGAGAAAAAATCGCGTGTCAACACAGCCGAAGATAGGAAAGATGTATTTGGGCTTCATTTTTTGACTTTACTTCTGAATCTGACAAAGCGACACATCATTGGCAGCATAGAGTGGATTGTTGCGAGTTCATGCCTCGCGTCATCGCGCCTGCAGTTTTGCAGACGCAACATGGACATCCATCAAGCACGAATAGTTGTATCTCTGCGCCGTCATTAACGCGTGTTGAAATGCAACTTGTTTTTGAAATTTGAGGAAAGGTAAGATTGAGTTTGTTCAATATATTCTATGATGCGTTCAACTCAATAAACAAAAAAAATCATTTTGAAAAAAAAAAAGTCAAAGAAGAAAAGAAAAGAAAAGAAAAGTCATTTTGAAAAAAAATTCGAAATTTCTTGGGAGAGATTCGGCGCTTCCGGAATACTCGTGCGTTACTTTTCTCTTCCACGGCAGCGCAGTGTTTATAGGGATCCCCAGCGTTGCGCTTTGCGTCTCGTATCATGTATTCATGCGCGGCACTCGGCAGTCGCTCGCATGGCACAGGAGCGTCAATTCAAACTTTCCCGCCGAAATTTAAACGGTGCCGCTGCGTCACGTCCCGAGGCGGAAACATTGAGCTTTTCCTCGTGCTCGATAGGGAGCGCACGCGGATCTATTTTCATCTTGAACCTATCACTTTGCCAATTGCCAACAGAGCACAAGGGAGAATTTCATGAGCCGCCCTGCGCCGTCCGCAGCGCGCATGGCGCACGACCTGCCTTTATTCGTCTAGCGTTGAGACTTTGAGAGTTCACTCATTACTTCACAAGACCAGTGTGTAATGTTAAAAGTCAAAAATTTAAAAAAAATAACTGGGGAAAAAATTACACGATATACGAGTTGCTCCGCCAGGGAACTCAGCTCTCCCCGCAAGAAATCGTCCACCACCCGGCCGCGTCGGGGGCGCCGCGGCGTGCTGCCAGCGCGGAACGCGCACTGACGCCTACAAACCTAAGGGGCTACTTCACGCATTGCGCAATGCTTGAAGCATCCCCTTAGGTTTGTAGGGGTCAGTGTGCATTTCCAGCTGGCAGCGGCAGCACGCTGCGCCGCAACGCACCATAAACTTGTCCTCAATTAATAGGTCAGGGTGTTAAGATGTAGGCGATTTGACATCAAATTCGAAATTAACGACTTAAAAAAACATCAGCTACGAAACTTTCGTGATCTTTCAGTCATTATCCAACTTATTACTTCCTATTCTTGAGTTTTCAAGGTGTCTAGCATTTTTTGATTTTGAAAAATTCTGATATTTTCCTGATGTTTCCTGCACCTTTTTCAGGTACCTAATCTTCAATCATACCCGAGGAAAATATAAATCCCCTCCGATTTCTCAGACGCCTACGAGGGAAACATAATGTACTAAACACGTCAAGAGAGACTGTGATTGAGTAGGTTTCGACCCGGAAACAAAACTCCACGCGCGGAGAATACGGTCGGTAACGAATCTCATAATATCTCTGCCCGGGACAGCTCTTGAAAAAGCCACAAAAATGACCCCTGATCGAAAGCCCCCCCCCCCTCTTCAACGCCCCATGACGCGACGATATTTTCCACCCGGCCTATAATTCGTATTTCCATCGGATCTCACAACGCGAAAGCGATTAAAAACTTGACACCGAAATCTAACTTTGCTGACAGGAGCGTATTCAACACTTGGATAGAATCTGAACACGATCGCTTTAAGGAAGAACGCAGTATGGTTCTTCGGGCGTTGCCGTTGGAATCATATAACACACATTTTCTGCTTTGATCTTTTATATCAAAATGCGGAAAATACTCGCCTTTATTACGACGTTTGAAAATCTCTGTTTATGTTTGATTTTCTTCAAGGAAAACAAATCGAAATGCTTCCTTGCGATTTGTGGAATTTTTCCGCGCTTGTCTTAAAATGAGAGGAGGACATTCATGGAAAACTCTCAAATAGAAACTGGATTAGTTTTCCTTTGGAAAAAAAAGAATGCGCGACGATTTACGACGTCCCGATCTGCGATACGCATTTTTCGACTTCGGCTAACGATGACTTACTTGAAACTTTTTAGAGGCTTACATTCTCATTTCGACCTAGAGCATTGGGTCTGGACTTCGGGATTTCTTTATTCCCTGCTGTTTCCTGATTTTTGGGAAATAATTTTCTAAAATACAGAGAGATGTTCCGAGATTTTCGGGAGAAAATCCTCGAACGGAAACTCGTGGTTTCTTCTCGTAAATTTCTAAGTGTTCTCTGAGACATCCGTTTCCTATCAAATTCTGGCTTCTCTTTCCCGGATGATTTTCTTCCCCTCATGAATCTCTGTGACTCAGCATTCCAGACCCGAGACACAATCATCTAAAATATCCGAAAACAGGGTAAAATATATGCATAACTTTCCTGGAAAAATGAACGTTTGATTGAGGGGGGACCTGGCAATACTCGCGTATTCATACGACGTTTTGCCTCGACACAGCAACACTACCGTGCTAAGGAAAAACGCCGTATGAACCTTCAAGCGTTGCCAAATTTCCTTTGACAAATCGCTAATTGATAGAAAAACTTCTGAATACTTTTCGGTCAATTTCTCAAACAATTTTGTAAGTAATTTGATCTAAATTTTCTGAAAACGTCATGGAAAAATTTTCATAACTTCCCTCAAAAATAAACATTTTATCGGAGAAAATTCGGCAACTCTCAAATGTTCATACGGCGTTCTTAGCACGGCAGAGTACGACCCGTAATCTTGAGCTAATAAACACGTTATAGTGCTGCAACCCCCAGCCTCCCGCACCCTCTGCGAGTTGTCACGCCGTGCGCGGGCTGAAGAAAAGAGTTGATCCCCTATCTCAAAACTCGGGTTAACTGAGTGCGCGACAGACTCGTTTTTCATTTTGATTTAGAGCCGATCGGCTGGGGAAAGGGGATCGACAGGAGGCGGGGAGCTCGGAAAATCGGCTTGTTGACAAATTCCATCGTTGTCAAAAACGGGGAGGGGGCCGGATGAGCGATGAAACTTTCCGAGTTCCCCCGATGCTTAAAAAAAAGTTATATGACGAGTCGGGGACATCAGGAGGATGTTTACGAGGACCCCGATTTTTTTATCGTCCGTGAATTTCGCTCTTTTCCTCGCCCGATGCGCCGGCGCTGGCGGGTTCCGTCGGTCTCGTGCCGAAAGCCTGTGCATGGAATAAAATAGATTGTTAGAATCAAACAGATTATTAGAATATATCCTCCGTAGTGGCCTGGTTACACGCTCAAATTTCCGACAAATTCCGATCAAAATGATGACCAAGATGGCGGTCGAGAGTTATCTAGATTAATGAGTAAAATTAATTAAAATAGCGTGTTGATTGAAATAAGCATGAAATAAGCACGGTTGTGTGGAAAGCAGATGACGAATGAGCCCCACAGTTCCATCATCTACCATCAAATTTTTGCAGGCCGCAGAAATTTGATGGTAGATGTTGCGCACCAGTCACCATTTGATCGGAAATTGATGGGAATTTGAGCGTGTAACCAGCACATAGGAAAAGACAGCGATGACGGTGTTACAAAACGGAAAAAATATGTTCAGAAATATGTCACAGCGATTACTTGCCTTCATTATAGTGGATAGGCAAATGTGAGCTGAGAGGAGTTTACCTTGTGAGTAGGATTCTTCGAGTTGAGGATGCGTTGGAAGGTTCTAAAAACAGAGGCTTGGAAGATCAAAGCCGGTAGTTTGCAGTCAAAAGTGATCCTGTGCAACAATTTCACTAGTTGATGATTCGTGGCCACCGAATTCTTCTCGAACTGCTCGAGCAGGGTGCAACAAGCCTGAATTGAAGTCGGCCGCGCAAATCTAGAAATCATAAACAAATTCTATGAGTAGGCGGAAGACAAATCGCGTAAGAAGAAGTTCAAAGGTCATAAAATTTCCCCACGAAATGAGCCAATTTCCCCTAACTTTGCCTCAACATTATCTCGGTAAGTTCAAAATTAGTTAAACATTGCTTTTTCAAGTCCCCAAATGGAGATGTTGCATGTGTGAGGGATTTGCGATTTGACCATTGATTCTTACGTAAAAGTTCGCGAGAAACACGATGGTGCCACTGGTTTTCTCTGAAATCATCTCCCAAGCTCAAAAAAAGCTCTCAAAGTGAGGCCAAAATGGAGGGGATATCCCACCCTACCCTGAGAGTCCACCTCTACATCAGAACAAACTCTCCATGCAAAGATAGGGAACAAATACATCGACAGGGTTGCCACTTTATTTGGGGACTCCAAAACTGAAAACACGGCAACCCTGCTAATATATATGCTCCCTATCTTTGCATGGAGAGTTTGTTTTGATGTAGAGGTGGACTCTCAAGGTAGGGTGGGATATCCCCTCCATTTTGGCCTCACTTTGAGAGCTTTTTTTGAGCTTGGGAGATGATTTCAGAGAAAACCAGTGGCACCATCGTGTTTCTCGCGAACTTTTACGTAAGAATCAATGGTCAAATCGCAAATCCCTCACACATGCAACATCTCCATTTCGTGCAAAGTTTAAAAAAAAAACGAAACTAAAGGTGATTTTTAATCACCTGTATGTATCATTGATTTATTTACAGATTAAATATAACATAAAAAAAAGGAAAGAAGAAAGCGGAACAAAAAGAAACGATTAAACGGCGAAAAGTAAGAATGTGATCTAAAATTGTGCGTTGAAAATTGTATGGGTATTCTTGAAAAATATGATGAACTTACCTTCTCACGAAATCGATAAAACTGAAGTTCTGCTCAGAAACGTCCATCCCTTCGTCTCTTTCTTCATCATCTGTAACAAATTTAAAATTGAGAAATTATGGACGATCTATCACGGAAAAGTTCAAGTATTATTTGTAGTAGCTTTTACAGCAACATAGTATATCTTGTTTTGGGGTCGATTAAGAGGAGAGTCGGCAAATAATATGGATCTCCAGATATCTCTGATTTTCAGCAGCCATTAAACCATTTATGGATGTACGAGCAAATTTGAAATAAAATGAGAATGTTCCATCAGGCATATTTTCTTTGAATAGAACTAAGGCATTGGTCAAGTAGAACATATTTTTCAAAACCAAACAATAGGAACTTAATTTACTATAACACCACACAAGGGCCTACAGTAATGTCTCCAAGTTCCATCTGATAGCTTGTTTTCTTGTATCCATTTACGGGTGAGTAAGTCACCACGAAAATGTCAAGGAATTCTCCTTACATCTCAAAGGAACAACAAAATAAGTTCAACAGAAAATTCACCATTGTTCTTGAATAAACAGACCCAGGGGAGAAAATTTAAAATAAGGGAAACTTCAGGGTGAAAAAAGTCGAAAAATCAAGCGCAGCATTTCCCCTGGAAGTTGTGTTTTCTCAATTCTGTGCGAATTCTTGGAGCTAAAAACGTATATGGTCCCAACGTTTTCAGAAGTTTCTTTTTTACACAATTTTCCCTATTCAAATTTCAGCTATTTGTGACGGTCGTGAGCGTGTGACGGTCGTGAGTTCCGGAACAAAAACGCAGCACGTGCTGCCATCTTTGGAAACTAACAATTGAGCACAGGATATCTAGCTTGGTTGATACCCTTTAATAAACAGCATGCATGATTTCAATGAAAAACATTTAAAAATAAAACGAACGAGCGTGATGGCCTTGAGTTGCCAAGCGAACAGAATTATTACTTGCCACCTGATGTTGTTGCGACTCAACCGTTGCTTGTGACCTTCAAACTCAAGATCATTGAGATTTTCGACTGGATCCCTGCGGAACCTGAGCAGGGCTACAGGCTCTGCGCAAAGGGCATTTGATCGGCAACAGAGTGGCGAGTGGCGTTGCAGGAGAGCATAGGCTCGGCTCGAAAATGAAGTGACTGAAGACTCCAGTGCTGCCCTGCTAAAGAAGAACACCTTATGAACATTCGAGAGTTGCCAAATTTCATTCGATAAAATGTTTGTTTCCGAGGAAAGTTATGAATATTTTTCCTTGTCATTTTCAGACGTTTTAGGTCAAATTACAAACGAAATTATCTGAGAAATTGGTAGGCATACATTTAAAAATTTTCCTAAAAATTAGCGATTTGTCAGGGGAAATTTGACAACGCCTGAAGGCTCATAAGGCGTTTTTCCTTAGCACGGCAGTCTAGTGCCTAATGAGAGGTGGCGGATCCCGCTTTTCGAGTCATAAAGGAGCCGTTAACGCCCCATAAAGCGACGCGCCTCCCCCCACCCCCTCCGCCTACAGACAGCCTCGACGCCGTTATGAAACAATTAAACGCCATAAAACTGAGCGTGTGCAAGCCTCAGCCTCTACTGCAACCCCCCCCCACACACACACACACCCTCACACATACCCGGATGGATATGTCAACGGGGGCAGATGAGCGAAAAAGGCGTACCGCTTACGGACTGCGGCAAAATCAGACTAAAGCCCCTTACGACGGTGTTACTGAGGAAAGCACTAATGCCAGGGATAAAGTTTTGGGAAAGGTTGGAAAGCTGCAGTGAGTTTTTAGGAATGTTCGAACGGAATATTTTACCGGGCAATTCCTCCATTTTTCGTAAGATTGTTGTAGTGGGAAAATCGGAATTTCAGTCTCTAGATCTATCATAAAGCAGAGCCTGTACCGAAAATCAAACCCGAAAGGGGACGATAAGAGTCAGGGAAATCGTTTTAGATTCATGGCGCTTTTTGTCAGCTTTCGGAANTTTTCTTTTTTTCCAGTGTTGTTAGGTATCACCTGAGAGAGGATCATCAGCTTTTGGCGATGGATTTTGGGTACGATCGCTTTATTTTTAATTCTAACCATTAGGTGGGTTATAGTGGGAAAATCGGAATTTCAGTCTCTAGATCCATCGTGAGGCAGAGCCCGGGCCGAAAATTACCTTCCAAAATCTTAAAATAAAGTCAAAAGTATTGTCTAAAGTATGCAACCGATTTCATGGCGACAGAACTTTTGACCTCGTTTTCGAATTTTGGAGGATGATATTCGGCATGACAATTTCTGAATGGTTGATCTGGAGACTGAAAGTTCGATTTTCAAGAATAATCTATCAAACGGTTTTTAAAACATATCGATCGTGCCCAGAATGCATTTCGCAATAGCTGAGGATCCACCTTAAAGACTTTTAAGATGCGTTTGGGTGATTTGGAATCTACAATACATATTTAGTCATCAACTGGTCTACTTTGATCAGAATTGGTTCGAAATTTGATCGTGACCTATAAGATTACCTAACTTGGGGATTTAATGGAATCAGCCTAACTACATCAGCCATTGCATAACTGGACTCCATTTTGCAAGTGACTCGTGTCCTGCGAAAACAGTTGATGTCCATCGTCACTGATTTTCAGAAAATTGCAAGAAATTGGAGAAGCCTTTTTAATGCGGGATTGGAAAATGTTCCCAAGTTAAATATTACAGGAGTGGATTGTAGAAAAGAATCCCCAACAGTCTCAAGCTACTCTTCTGTCTAAAAAATTATGAAAGAATAAACATGAAAGTTGTTTCATGATTTTAATTTCCACCACCGCGCCAACCGCACTGGTTCTGGCGCAATGCGTGAATAATCCCTACAGTCTTGTAGGCGCTATGCGTTTTAGGCCGACCACTGCTGATCGCACTGTTTTTGACGCAATGCGTGAAGTATTCATGCAGTCTTGTAGGCACTATGAGTTACACGCCAACTGCTACTGGCCGCACTACTTACGTATTAATGTCCGTATTTAGTTTCGAGAATCCTGAAAAGTCTTCAAGGGTTTGGATGACGGTTCCATTGACTAATCTTGATGTCTAGCAGTAATGGAAGAATAGGTATTCTCTTCAGTTGATTCATGGGGACGACGAGAGGCAAGGAAATCGTTTTAGATTTAGCGCGCTTTATGTTAGGTCTCGGAATTTCTTGACGTTTCTTCAATTTTTCCGGCATTTTGACATGAACCGCAAAATTCGCAAGGTGTTGACTTTCATCTAAACACTGAAACGACCGAGTACCTTAAGCATGAATACATCCGCGGTTTCTAAATTGAACTATTACCGAGAGGTGATGACAGAATGATCTGAAGTCGCACATCGAGCGTCTTCTTTTCAGCCAGGAATAAAGAACCAAAAAGGGAAAAAAAGAAAAAAATCAACAGAATTTATGATTCACAGAAAGAAGCATATTGGTACACCAAATAATGAGCAATAATAGCTTCATTTGAGTGTATGAGATTTAAACGCCGCGCCGACCGAAACTCCCAAAGCTCGTGATTGGCCACCGAGTTTACTGACGATAATCATGAGGTATGTACTGCCATGCTAGGGAAGAACGCCTTATGAGCATTCAAAAGTTGCCAAATTTCCTTCAATAAAACGTTTATTTTTGAGCAAAGTTATGAATATTTTTCCTTGAAATTTTTGGGAGCTATATGTGTAATTGCGAACAGAATTACCTTAAAAATTGGAATGAAAATACTCTTTGGGTTGCCAGTTAATTCGTGTTTCATGAAAGGTAATTTGGCAACGCTTAAAGCTCACACGGCGTTTTCCCTTAGTGTAGCGGCCAATTAATTCTCGAAAGCTGCCAACCATTTTCACTATCTCCTCCATGAGACACCGCCTGGCGGGCAAATAAGGAGTCGAAATGGTGAAATCAAGAGAGATACGAGCGCATAAACGCCACCGGGCGGCTGTTTCCATTTCCACCCTCCTCCCTCCATCCGAATGGAGCCTAAATGCTGGGCCAGATCGCCGTGCGGGCACGGCCGGTGGACCATTAAAATAACAAAAAAATAAACAGACATAGAACGGGAGATAAAATGACCCGATGACTTCGGTTAAAATCCGTTTCGTGGCGGGGAACAAGATGGAACTCATTATTAACAGACGATTTTTTTTTCGAGTTTGGAGGGCTGGCAATTTAGTGCGTCACTTTCCCAAGAGGGATGCTTTAATTGGATTGCATTGAGCAAAAATAACTGCTTAAATTCTGCTTCTAATCTACTCTATAAAGCCCGGGTAGCCGTAACGCCAAAAATCCCAACTTAACGGTCCACAGGGCCGGATTTAAGGGGTGGCCACATGGGCCGCGGCCCATGGCGGCATTTCGAACCAATTCTGATCAAAGTAGACCAGTTGATGATTGATGGTCACCATGCAACAGTCCTCTTTGATCTAAGTTGGACGAGCCGTCAAATTTTGATCAGAATGGAGTGCCACCATTCATCATTCCCTGCCGCACGAAACATTTCTGCCAAGTTTTCATTTTCAAATGAAGCAAATTAATGATTTTAAGACTGATGACTTCCGACACTTTGATGGTAATTGGTTCGGGAATTTGATCGTGTATCGGGACCTTATTTGCCGGTCGCTCTCCATCATGGAGAGCAAAAACGACAACGGCGCTCTCACTCCGAGGCGGCAAATGAGTGAAACACGGAGACCGGCCAATAAGCACACACTTATTGTTCTCCCTCTTTATTGCGGTCATATACACCCCCGTCTCATCCCCCCCCGAGGCCTTGATCCCTTTGCTCGCCCCGGCCCGGAGCTGGGTCCCTAAGGGCCAAAGGGCCCCTCGCCACCCTGCCTTCCCAGCGGAAATTCCCCGGCTTATCTTTCGGTCACATCTGTAGCGCCACTGCAAATAATGTATCGAAACGTCCGAGCGGGCTTAAATGAGGATGAGAAACGCTCAATATTTATTTATTTACGCTCCTTTCGTTTGGTCACAAGACTAATTTCAAACCTCCCTTAACGAATCTCCCTTGCTAAGTAACAACGTCGTAAGAACTTGCAACTGCTGCCGGGATTCTTCCGATGAATCATCTTTTTTTATAAAAAAAATTGAATTTATTTTGCAATTTAGAACTATACAATTTCTAGCTCTTCTGTAAAAACAATTATATGCGTCGGAAAAGTAATGATAAGTACGTCGTTTCTAAACTGAGTAAGGAATTGTAGTTCCCAAGTGCAAAATGTAGTCCAATTATTCATGAAATGAGACGGATTAAACCCGAATTAGCCTGACTACATCAGACGTTATTAAATCTCCTTTGATGTATTTCTTTTAAACACAAAATGATGGTAAAAGTGCAGAAGTGCGTATCTCGGAGAACACGATTTTCCAGGAGAGTAAAAAAACTGTCTTCATTCCGCCTTATGGCCGGTAGAGGGGTATTATTTCTTGAGGATAGCAAGAATAAGATACTTTTTCAGACTCATATCAACATTTTGAATATTTCCTCGAACTGTTAGAGAATATGGCAGAAATGCCGAGATTCGCGTTTTCGCCACTAATAATTGACACTTCATCACGAGCTATGCATATTTGCAATTCGTGTTTCCGACCTGTTGTTGGCGGATTTGGAGCATAAAAAGACTGAGAAAAAGAGTTTCACGCTTACAATTCTTTACAATATTAGAGGCTTCAGTTTGATCTTATACGGCCGGATCAAGCATTGTATGATTGGAAAATGACATTTGATCACGAGATACCTACGCATTCCTGCAATTAGCGTTTTGAACCCTGAAGTCCAAATTATGTCCTTCCACAAGAGAAGAAGAATTACGCAATCTTTGTAATAATTGATGGCCTCCTAGGATGTTATGAATTTCTATCCTAAAACATTGAGATAATGGTCTAATAAATTGATCGCTCTACTTGGCAGCCTTGCCTGAACCCAGACTCAATATTTTACGAGATGACCCGGGTGTGTGGTATTGCTGCCCTTCGATTAATTCAAAGCGAGGTTCTCATTGAAGATAGAACGGAACCTCAAATATATGTGGGAATACCGTTTCATGATTCGTACGGTGAAGGAAAAATGTTCACAATCGAAGCAAATATATAGTCACTCAGATCAATCAATACTAAAGCAGACTGAAAGATACCCCAAATGGACTTCATTCTGCAGAGAAAACCTTCATTTCTGACTCATTTCTGACACAGATTTATGCCATTAGTTGGGTCGCATTTAGCAGAAAGGAACAAACGCGATTTTCGAAGGAATCGAGCTGATGTTTGATCTTCTCTTAAATGTATGAAAAGCGTTTTCTTTAAAAATAATTGATTCAATCCGAAATTTTGAAATTAGGTAAGGGATCTTTCGCTTTGAGAGTTTGGATATCTCAGATGGGAGCCAACGATGTTATTCATTGTCATTGTGGTCAAGCTGTTGCAATTTTATCTTCTGGGAAAGAATAATTATTTTGAGGTTAGAGTCAAACGACACGTTATTCAAAATAATAGTACGACTATTCGTGCTTTACTGCCGGGCTTATAGCATAGCCGGGTAACTAATGGCACTTTTTTGCGATGAAAACCACGTTCCTGCCGAGTTGAGAGCAAGATTCACTGAACAAATCCAGCTAAAGTCGGTTCCCTTCCGTGGATTCAGTTCAGATCTTGAAAGAGCCAAAATTGAGCCAGCTTTGAGTAGGTTCCTTTCTGTAAAGTGATTCTCCTTAGATTCATTAAAACATAGAAAGGGCTTAGTCATATTCAATACTTTAAATTAAACACTTTGAGTTATACCCTGGGTAAAAATTGGCAGTAGAATCTGTGTTCCAAAATACCATAGACCTAAAGCCGGCTGTAAGATTTCCAATAGCTTCTGTAGCCGGCTGTACAATTTCTTATAGCCATTTATAGCCGATGGCGATTAAGCAACAGCCAGGCGATAAAGAGTATGCTAAACGTTACTAAATACGGATGCTAGGGCTTACTTAGTTTTTGGACGACCGCTCTCTTTTTGAGCCGTAGTATCTTGATTTATTTTGCGAGGAAAGCTCCGTACTTTTGAAGGATGCCTGTCATTCTTTATATGTTGGAGCGCATTCAATTTCTTGTGATACTGTGCAATACCTCTGGTGTGAAATAGTTGCTTCAGACGCCGTGGCACGCTGCGGCGCGGCGGGCGGGCAGAGAGCGCGAAACGCGCATTGGCGCCTACAAACCTAACAGGGATACTTCACGCATTGCGCAATGCGTGAAGTATCCATGTTAGGTTTGAAGGCGCCGGTGCGTCGCCGCTCCGCTTTGTATTGGCTCTAATATTTAATCTCGCGGAGTCAGCGTTTTTCAACTCATGATTTTGAAATGTTTCCACACTCTGCGAGGATTATTCTCATTTTAATTGATGAAAAAAAATTGGTTTTAAAGGAAAATATAATGTGTGTTTTGTAAATATTAAGGTAGTTCCGTATCAAACTTAATGATTTCCAAAGCACACGAATTTCTACACAATTTCTTATAGCCTTTTATAGCCAATGGCGATAAAGTGTAAAGCCCGGCGATAGGAACTATAGCCCGACTGTATACTTTTTTATAGCTTCGTATAGCCCGGCTATATGATTTGCTCCGCTTTCTACAGCCAGCTATATGATTTTCAATAGCCTTCTTTAGTCGGCTATAAGAATTCCTATGGTATTTTGAAACGCAGCTCCTATCGCCAATTTTAACCAGGTTATTCAATTATTTCAATGTAAAAAGTCATAAAATGGAGTTGCTAAACCTTTAGTCTATAATATAATCTCCAAACTGCTAAAAACACGCTGTGCCCTTCTGCTAAATGCACCCAGGCTTCCGAACTTATCAAGAGCAGGAGCTTTTTCGGATGATCCCAAAATAGTGGTTCCTGATTGTAAAATGAAGTCAATTACAATATTGCCGTTCCGCAGCATTGTAAGAAAAGCAATAAATTACATTTTCATGCTTTGAGAAGGACATATCGATGACTTTTGAAAACCAAGTAACTCACTGACGGTGTTTCCGAATGTCCGTCTTTTAATACTTCGAATGGAAACAATGCAACTTCATCGCTTGAAATTTTAACCAAATATTTTCGGGACAAAAAAAACAGATGCTGAAGTACATGGATTCAAAATTCGGCCGTCGATATGAATGTTCATCGCACAAACGGACGAAAAACTTGAAAAGTGGAACACTTCAAAGATGATTTGAAAACATTACTTTGAGACAAGTTTTCTTCAAGATCATCCATAACTCTCCTTTTTTTCTTAGTCTTCCCTCCAAAATTAACACGTACGTCTTTCTTAAACCGGACATCTCCATTATTTTAAAAATATAGTTGTTATTTGATAGTTCTTCAGGCTGAGTGAATTTATATAAGTATTTGAAACAACGGATACATACCTATTCCGGAGGAATCATCGCTGTCGTCAGAATCTGGATCAGGAGCCACTGAAACACCAAAACACAAATAAGGACGGTGAACGACAGTATTAGAGATACGGCTGCAGAATAAAATGATGGTATTTTGTCATTCAAGATAATCAAAGTTCCATTGAGCAATTACAATGATCAGCTTGGTTTCAAACTGCGATTCTAAAATTGAAAAATATTCAGAACATTCGGTCATATTCAAGTAATAAAACCATAGGAATTTCCCATTTATGAATGAAGAATCCACCGACACAAATCCCTTCAAATTTTTTATACAATCCCACGCCGAATCAAGAGTTGCTAAAACCGCAATATGGAGAAAATGGGTTCTTTAAGAACAGTGCTTGCGTTATTTTGATCGATACAGGAAGTGAAATATGGACGACCGGAATTATGAGTCGGTTTTGGTACCGTTTGCGTTAAATTCTGAACAGAAAACAATGAAAAGCCGTGGGACCCGAATCCACGGGAGGTTTTCGTTTTTTGTATTCCTCTTTCAAAAAATTTAATTCAACTTCAATGTTATTGTGTGTTCTCTGAGCGCTTGCGATGAAAATTTTAGGAGACTTTAAAAATCAGGGTGTCTACCAGAACAGGCGGGCCGATCAGAATCAGTACTTTTGAAGTACTTTTTCAGTACATTCCCAAGGAATTCAGTACCTCCGCAACAAAAAAATTCAGTACTTTTTCAGTACCTTCCAAATGGTGAAATTCGAAAAATTTCAAAAATTTGAATATCTCGCTCTAGTTGCGACAAGAATGATAAGAGATGAAAAAAATCCGGACCTTCTTGCGGAATTTCCGCACTTTTTCAGAACACTGGAAAAAAAACACATTGAATCTATAGCCCAAACTCTTGAAAACATTGACAAGAAAAAGGACTCTTGATTCAATCAGATTTAAACTTAAATCAAACGGAAATCCGCTCAAATTAAGAGGTATGGTTCTTGATTTAAGCTTAAATATGATGAATCAGGAGGCCTTTTTCTTGTCGATTTTTTTAAGAGTCTGGACTCTAGATCGAAAGTGTTTTTTTTTCCAGTGTATACTTCCGGACCGCCCTTAAAAAATCAGTATTATTTCCGGGCTTTCCGGACTTGTGGACACCCTGAACATTTCAATAGGAGCACAAAGAGCCGACTCACTCGAGCAATAGGTCGCAAAATAGGTCAAGAGATGCGAAGAGCAACGGACCTGGGGAACAAGGGTAAAAGCACGGCATAAATACACATTAAAGAACAGATCTACGTTAGGCTTAAGTTGGGAATCAGAATGAGCAAGTTACGGGGGAACGTTAGAGGGCGGAAAATTAAGAGGCATTTAATAAGCCAGATGAGAACGTAATGCTCAGGGAAGGCGCAAGAGGGAGAGGGCGCTACAATAGGGACGGACGCGTGCCCCAAGTACAAAGCGTGGTGCCAAACTTCCCTGCGGCTTCCTCCTACGCTGGAGAGGACAAACGGATTTTCCCGTCGAGCTTGGAAACCCTCGTTCGCTATTTGAATAACGCCGTTGCCACAATTCTAGGAGGCGGTAGCCACCCCGGCCCGATCCAAAAAAAATTCCCCTAAAAGTTGACGATATCATCACAACTACGAGCTACTTCACTCGCCAGATCTCCATTGCAGGTTTCGTGAAGAATGGAGATGTTGCATGTGTAGGAATTTGCGATTTGACTGTTGATTCTCAAGTAAAAGTTCGCGAGAAACACGATGGTGCCACTAGTTTTCTCTGAAATCAACTCCCAAGCTGAAAAAAAGCTCTCAAGTTGAGGCTAAAATGGAGGGGATATCCCACGCTATCCTGAGAGTCCACCTCTACATCATGACAAACTCTCCATGCAAAGATAGGGAGCAAATACATTAGCAGTGATGCCGTGTTTTCAGTTTTGGAGTCCCCAAATAAAGTGGCAGCCCTGTCAATGTATTTGCTCTCTATCCTTGCATGGAGAGTTTGTTTTGATGTAGAGGTGGACTCTCAGGATAGCGTGGAATATCCTCTTCATTTTGGCCTCGACTTGAGAGCTGTTTTTGAGCTTGGGAGTTGATTTCAGAGAAAACCAGTGGCACCATCGTGTTTCTCGCGAACTTTTACTTGAGAATCAACAGTCAAATCGCAAATTCCCCACACATGCAACATCTCCATTACAGGGTGTCTAGTTTTTTTTCATTTTAGGAAATCTTGATGAAATCCTGATTTTTGACTGCCAAATCCTGACTTTTGACTGCCAAATCCTGGTTTCATAGTTGGTCCAAAGCCTGATCAAATCCTGACTTCTCGCAAGGCGAATGTAACTTCACAAAATAGCTCGAATAAAAAATGTGATCGAGGCTATGTTTATGTTTTGAACCAATCGATATCGATACAATCTCACCCGTTTGATGTATCGAATACGATCTATATAGGTGGACTTGTTTCGCATAAATTCGTCAATACACGCGAACGAAGCGGCAACTCGAGCGGCATCCGGGAAAATATAATATTAATCTATTAATTGAAGGAGAGAGTCCTCGCGGGTAGGGATTAATATTTGGTGACCCGGCGCGGCGGTGCGGGGAGGGGAGGGAAGGGACGCTGAGGGAGGGAACCGCGGGATTCGTTAGACAACGAGGGCTGAGCCGATGCGTGGAGTCGGTGGCAAGTGGGAAAACACTAAAACAGGCAGGTGAATGGTGAGTGTTCTGCCTGCCTCCGCAATGATTATCAATGAGCTTTCAAACGTCGTCATACGGGCTTCACATCCACTTATTTCCACTATTTCTGCGTACATAAAGCGGGCTTTGAAGATATTCGCCGAGTCCAAATCCCGCCTCTAACATGATTCGCCCCTAAATTTACCCTGCACGGAGGGAAATATTCTCTTAGGTCAATTGAAATTTCAATTTTCCCGGACAAGATTTCTCGTTGAGTCAATATGAGATCTCTTTGCTTTAAACGGTATTTTTGTTCCTTCAAGGAGCTTTAAGAGCAAGAGGTCCGAAATGCGTTCAACGGTTGGTTGCAGAATCAAGATGAGAAGTTATATGCAGCAGGAATTAGAAAATTGGCTCAATGATACCAGAAATGCATAGATGTAGGAGGATCCTATGTTGTGAGGCTTTTCAAAAGCACCACATTTCTTACCCCTTCTGTGTAACCTCTCGTTCAATAATCTTTTGAGTTAAAATTCCGGCCGGATCGGCGGCGTGAAATTTTGAATCCGCTTGGGGTGGAGGTGGCTTCACAAAAGTCAAATTTTTAGGCGTTACATAAGACCAAATGTAAATTTCTTTAGCTTATTAAAAAGCTGAGAGTATGACACACATAACCCTTTTTACCGATTTATTTTCATGGAATCGTTAAAAAGATATGGCACAAAATATTGTACTTGCTTTTGAGACGACTCTCGTACTTGTTTCTTTGAAAACGGTCAAAATTCCCTTTCTCTTTCCTAAAGTTCCTGAGCCAGTTAATTATCATGGCACGGCCTTTGCAACCCCGGGTCCCGGGAAAAGAATCTTGTGCCCTTGCGAAATAATAATAGACTCATCATATCGAAAATAAGACCGTGAGGACTCGAAACGTTCGATAGAGTCTCCGGAGCTCCAGTCGGGTTTGAAACTACCCCTTGGAATCGCTCAACCGATGCCGATGCGATGGATGCGGCCCTGATTTCTGTCCTTTAAGGAAGAACGCCGTATGAACCTTCAGGCGTTGCCACATTTCCTTTGATAAAACACGAATTTCCTGGTAAACTTATGAATATTTTCCTTCCAATTTTTCAGATAATCTTCTTCGCAATTTGACATAAAGTTCCTGAAAATTTAAAGGAAAAATATCCATAACTTTTTTTAAAAATAAACATTTTACCGAAGGAAATTTGGCAACTCTCGAATGTTCATACGGCGTTCTTCCTTAGCGCGGCAGATTTCTAATTAGCAAGCGCACCAGATCCAGTGACGCAAGAGCTTGAGCTTCCGCATGAAAAGGCCAAGCCTACAAATTACGGAAACAGTCCAACTTTAAAGGACTCTAATCAGTCGCCGGGTTTAATTGAGCCCACTCCCATTTCCGATAACTTCGTTACGGCACCATTGCTGACGGAAAAAGTTTCTTGATGAGTTAACGGCACGGACCCGTCCGTCTTCCACTTTCAGCCACTAGAGAGCACATGGGTATGCTGCCATTTTCATTTTTCCAGTACTCCCATTCCATCCCCGTCAAAAGTTCCGGGATTCATACATTTTTGGTCCGAATTTTTTGAAAGTTCCGAAAAATGCAGAAGGGACCACTAGACAAGGCACGAATTTCAGCATTCTGATTCATAAATCTCATCTAAATTTCCACGTAGAATACGATGCGCACAACGAAAATTACCGATAGCAACTCCTTCCAAAGATACTTAACGATTCTTGATGCGTGGATTCAAAGCACCCGCTCATGAAAACTCAATGCTCTGCGTGATTCACATCGTGCGCTAAACGTTATCATGACAGTCTCTACGATATAAAAATCTGGCAACCTCAATCTTGACGCTTTGGTTCAGCTGTAGCAAATTGCTTACAATTTGAACAACACATGGTGGGAAATGAACATTGCTTGATTGAGAGACTTGTTGAAACCGTTGTAGTGCACGATTTGGCTCACGTATAGCTTTGAGTTTCTTGTCAGCGGGCAGTTCAAATCCCTTGTAACCAATGTGAAATAAAAACGTTAATATCTTCGTTTGGAGTTTGTTTCATTAGTTTTCGTTGCGCGAATCGTGCTCTACGTGAAATTCTAGTTAAGAAACATGTATCAGAATGCTTAAATTCGTACCTTTAAATATATCCCGCTTTCCGTCAAAATATTCCTTATCCTTAACCAATTGAAAATAAAACTAAAAAATAAAGCTTATTATTATAATCGAAAAGAATTTTTTGAGGAACCTGTTTAATTTCATTTTGCTTAAATTGTTGTAATTGTTGTATAAACTGTAAATTTGACTTGTGCCAGAGCTGTTTACTATAGGCTGTATGCATCAATAAAATTCTAATTCT